CAAAATCCTCCGTATACAAACACTACATTCTCCAGTGGTCTGTTTTTCGTAACTGCCTCGCTTCTGCGGGGGTGCATGTGAAAGCCTGGGCATCCACGGTCCCCGTGGGTAGTCCGTCTAAAACGGTGAATTTAAATCCCACCAAAAAACAAACACCACCACTGTAATCTCCACATTTGTAGCATCACAACGATGTAAATTTTACTAGGAACCGCCTTAAAACACCCCATTACACCCCCACATATCCTCCATAACATCAACACCGCCAACCGCGAATATATATATACTCCAGTCTACCCCAGATTCTTCTCCAGACCTCCATACCCTATTTATTGCCATGTCTGACAGCGACGAAATTGCCCATGCTATTGCTGGTGCCGGTGGCGGTGCCCTCCTGATGATTGTCACGTATCCTTTGGTGACTTTATCGACGTTGGCCCAGACCACCAAAAAGAAGAAGGAGGAGGACTCCAAAAAGACGTCTTCCGTGGAAGCCACCAAGCAGATCTTGAAGGAAAAGGGCATCCTAGGGCTCTACCTGGGTCTCGAGCTGGCCTTGTACGGTATCACGCTCTCCCAGTTCATCTACTACTACTTCTACGAGTTGACACTGAATGTGTTTTTGAAGGCCAACAAGGCGGCGCAGCTCAAAAGAAGGGGTCTCTCGACGTTCCAGTCGATCATCACCGGAGCTATCGCCGGTGCCATCACCGTGATTGGCACAAACCCCTTCTGGGTCGCCAACACCAGAATGATGACCAAGGCCAAGGAGCACGGCAAGCTGAGCGGTTCCACCGTCAAGGCCATTTTAGAGATTGTCGAGCAGGACGGCTTGGGCACGCTTTTTGCCGGCGTGTTCCCTGCTTTGGTGTTGGTGATCAACCCTATCATCCAGTACACCATTTTTGAGCAGATCAAGAACGTGATTATCGCTGCCAACGGCATCAAGTCGTTCACCGGTGTCAAGGCGTTCTTCATTGGTGCTTTCGGTAAGCTCGTGGCCACCACGTTGACCTACCCATACATCACGTTGAAGTCGAGAATGCACGTGAAGAAGAAGCAGTTGGAGACCAACGACGACAAGGAGGTGAAGCTCTCGATGGTGCAGGAGATCCAGAAGATTGTCACTGACGAGGGCTTGGAGGGTTTGTACCGTGGCTTGGGCATCAAGTTGTTCCAGTCCATCACCACCGCCGCTTTCTTGTTCTACTTCAAGGAGGAGTTGTTGTCCGGTTCCGTCAAGCTTGTGCTGATTCTCCGTGGCACCCAGGTTAGAAAGTCCCTTCGTTAGTCTGTAAATAGACGATATAGCTAGACACGATGTTGCAGATTGAGTCGAGGTTGTAGATTGACACGATGTTGCAAATTACATCGAAGTGTAGAGATTAGCTTGGAATTTGATTTTTGGGGTTGTTTAATGCCTTCATTCTATGGTAAAAAAAATCAATTATTTGCAATCACAATAAAGTTTAATTCAAGGTTCGTAGCGTCAAATGCCGAATAAACCGATATTAGAGCCGTGAAGACGGCCCTCCCCTATTTACCGTCCACATGCGTTATATCAAAATTGCAGAGTTCCGTTACTTGAATTTGCCGAATACCCCGAAAGCAGGAAATGCAAAGAATAAGTTTTAAAGACTTGGCGTTATAGGTAATCAACGGAGAGAGAAGCGCAGAGTTCAGGCAGGTGATGAAGACCCAGTTTAAGAGGATTTGAAGCTGATAAATAGAAGATTTTTTGACAATTACAATTTCATAATTTTGCCTATAGATAACCGTCGATATCGTCGATAGCGTTGCCCCAGACCCCCCCATTCCTTATCAATCCTCCCATCCATACTCAACTCCCTAAAACACAGAAACAGTCTTGGCCAATCACACAGCAAACTAACGTAAAACCCGTTTTGCAGAAGCTGCATTGCGCTTTCAAACGGCGCTAGCATGTCGTCAAGCCGTCTGCGTTTCAAATGCCGAAATCTGTATTGCCTGCGTTTCAAATGCCGAGGTCTGTATTGTAGAGCTCCATCAGACCTTCTGAACCAACATAGAAAAAAAAAAACCAACAAAACCAGCAAAACTCAAAAAACGCCAAACCCTCCAAAACCAACCCTCCAACCAAAATCACCCCTAATTCTCCCACAAAACCGCCGCTTGCTTTTCGGCTCCCTGCGGTGACGTTCCGTCGAACGGCATCGTGCCGTAGACCCTTAACGTTCGGTGCATGAAGCCGCCCCGTTGATTCCGAAAACCACAAAATCCAAAAAAGCCCAAACCAGCTTTTTGAAAAATATCAAAAACTCCAGTAAACTTTTCTTCTTATTCTTCTTCTTCTTTAGCACTTTCCCAGCTGGCCAAGTCTTGGGGAAGGTGGCTGCGAATTTCCGGTTCAGCCTCGCCTGGGCATCCTCGGAAGCACCACACCAAAAAGCACCAATTTACACCGCACGCATAAACAAACACCGGATCCGTGCTCTCCAGACGCAGCGGAATCGATCCATGCAATTTCGGCCAAAATCGGCCACTTTTCACCGGCCCCCCACCGTCCCCCACCATCGCCATCTATACAGTGACGGAATCATCCATCTTCACCACCGATACTTAAACTGATGCCCGCCCATGTCCTCTGACACAAAGGCCCCGGCCACGCCACCGCATAAAAACGCTTCAGAACGACCCGCTCGTCCGAAATCACCCATCCCCGTATCTCCATCAGCATCTCCAGCGTCTCCATCCCAAATGCTGGAAACTCCTCTGCAAGTGCCATCTCCTGAGCCTGGACCCCGTCCCGTGGCGAGGAGGGCGTGTTTGTCGTGCCGAGAGAAGAAAATCAAGTGTGACGGCGAACTCATGCCGGTTTCGCTGGGCCTGGACGGCCCCACTTGTCTGAATTGCCGGATGGTCGGTATACCGTGTGTTTTCGTCCAAAGCAACCGAGGCGGACGGCGCCGTAAACGGCTGCTGGTGGACTCGGGCACGGAATATGATGATAGAAGAAGAGGACCGCCTTCAAGCGTGCTGCCTCGGCTCCACAGACCAATGATGGAGCCTGATACGCCTTCAACCATGGGAGACTACTACCCGGGGCTTCGATCGCCCAGCTTCGGCCCGCCAGACCCGAAAAGACGCCCCAAGGACGACTACAAACACCACCATCACCACTACCACCACCACCACGGTCCTCGTGGCTTCTTTCCATATGGACCTCCAAGACACCACCACCACCCTAAACACGGCCACTACTGGCCTCCTCCACCGCCGCCACCGCCTCCTTACCATCACCACCACCGTCCTCCACCTCCAATGGGACCGTACCCGCCGTATTTTTACTATCCGCCAGGTCCTCCACCTCCAGGACCCCCACCACCCCGTAAACCAGAGGACGGCGAAAGACGAGAGCTGTACGGGTACTATCCGCCGTTTCCACCTGGTCCTCCACCTCCTCCGCCAGGTCATTTTGGCTTCCCGCCGCCCCCACATTTCTACGGCCATCCGTTCTACGATGAGCCCAAGAGAGAGGAAGTGTCTCCAGATAGCGAGTCTCTGGACACCGAGGAGCCCACGAAGGGGCCTTTCTCTTCGGGCGACTTGAAACGCCATGAGCTCCCGGCCTGGCCCGTTTTGAGCGACATTTTGGCCTACTACTACCGGGCATGCCACCCCAACGACCAGCTTCTTCCGTCGAAATCCGTCTTTCTTGAGCTGCTCTTCCTCAGAAATGACGCTGCCCTCCTCCACGCCGTTATTGCCAGAGTTTGCGCTCTTGGCAAGTGGAGCATCGACAGAAAGGAGGAAACCTGGGTCGAAAGAACCCACAAGTACATGGATACCTTGGACGACCACGGCATGCTCGTGTGCTATACGTTGTTGCGGAAAACAGCCAGCGTGCGTTCTGATCCAGCGCAGTTGAGCGACGTGAAGGCCAAATTCGCCGAGATTGTCGATTCCAACAAGTACATGGAGCTTTTGTCCACCAGCGTCAATATGAACAGACGGAAGCGCATGGACAAGGAGATGAAGGTCCGTGCGATCTGGAGCTTCTGGATCGACACCGTAGTGGACTCCGAGGAGTATGTGGGTGTGTTTGACGATGCCGAAAAGGCCAAGTTCCCGCTCCCTGTTGCCAATGACAGTTATGCACGCGGCGAGATAACACCCAGTTCATGGGAAGATTTCAACAACGGCAAGCTCAACGACTTCACCTCGCTCATACGTGCAGCCATGGCCTTGAACAAATCCAGAAAGGAGCCAATTGTCGACGCCAGCTTGGAGTCTTTCCTCAAGGTCTACTACACCCTCCAGGAGGACAGAATAGTGTTGAATCCGCACATGGCGCTGGCTCAATGCCTCTACAGCCAGGCACAGATTGAGCTGAAGAAGAAGTTGCCCGTGGAGAAACAAGACATGAAAGATGAGCACTGGAAGCTGCTAGCGGAGGTTTCCAAGCACGTTGGAGAAATTTGTGAAGTTGTTGAAGTTGCTCGTGGGTACGGAAGCCACCCGATTGTTTTCGGGCTGTCCCATGATTGGAAAGGCTCTGTGGCTCAGGGAAGAGACGGCTGGCGAAGAGTAAGCAGTATGGTTATTTCTTCCGCTGAGGCTGCTTCGGAAGCGCTAACAAAGGTGATTTTTTTGTTGGAAAGCACCACACGGGTCGAGCCTGAGCTCGATGCGCATCTACTACGGAAACACAGCCAGACACTCCTGCGGTTTCTCCGTTTCTGTGAACCGGTATCACCATCTGCATCGCCGTTGGTGAAGAATGAAGAGTCTACATGAGGCTAATTAGTAATGTTTTATGAATTGGGTACTATTGTAATCAGGGGACGTTCGATGTAGAGAGATTAGGGAGAAAGATTTAGTTTAACTGCATTTTAGATCTCAAGGGCATTCAGCATCGGTACAGCTTGAGAGCTTTTTTCCATGCAGCTAAGCCGCATTTTTGACAGGTTGACAGCTGCAAACTGAACAAATGGAGGGATCTCATGCAACTCATCATTTCCTTATTGAACTTTGACATCTATAACTTCCTCCTTCATCCGCGACTCGTAAGACGGCGGCTTTGCGGGTTTAGCATTCAAAGACTCGTAATCACCATGCACATCTACATTCGATTCCAACCTGATATATTCCGTAGCAGCCATGAACGAAGCAAGTTTCATGCTCACCACCATTTGGGTTTTTCTAAAACATGTTTGCGTGAGTATCAGGGGCTTAATGTATGTGACACCGCAATTGTAAAGCAGTTTTGGAATCGTGACAACTCCATCCTTAAGTGTAAGTCTACCCTGTAAGGCCCCATATTCTCTGTCCACAATAACCGTTGATTTCAGGCTTGACCGAATGATGTCACCGTCTTGTATCTGCACTTCCTCTACAATCTCCATGAAAAGCGTTTTAAAATCACCCAGCGAGACTTCTTCGCCAGATGGATTTCGATAGACCAGCCATCCTCAAATTTGAGTGAACGGCTTCCAGGATGACTGCGGAGTACTGCTCGGAAATTTTCACCAAAGGGCCGGAAAAGTGAATGGCTATTGCTTCCGCATGGTCTCAAGCACATCGACCATCTTATGCGGTGCTTAAAGCCAGGAGAGAAGAGAAAAGCAGAATCGGGCAACATAAGGATAATGGTGCAGTCGACGTTCTCTAGGTTGAAAGCATCTTTGCGGTGCTTTTCCCCGGCAATCTCCCCCCTTTGAATTAGCCCGTAACTGGACATGGTGATAATCGCAATGATATGAACGGGACAAGCAATGACCGAAGAGTGATGAGTCAATATTATGTGGTTGTTGAGGAAAGCCGTTTTCTTGAGAATATACTGGTTGATGTCTTGTATGGCTGAGCCTGCTTTCGGAAACCTTTTGAGAAAAACGAAGTCCTTAATCTTGTTTAATTTCTCCACGTCCATCTGAAAATCCGGGTTCGCCGCTGTGGGGACTGTTATCTTGATACTACCACTAATTGTAGAGGAACAACAGCCTGGTCCCACACACTGAAGGCGAACCAGGAACTTGAGGGCATAAGTCCTGGTTAATTGATCGGAGAAAAAGGTGGCACCCAAATCGGGAAGGTTACACTTGTAGCGGCTGGGACTGACAAAGAAAAATTTCTCTCCATTGTACTCACTTAAGCTGCAACTTCCAAAAACAACGTTGTACGACTCATCGAGCAACACTTGTTCATCTGTTTGGGACTCGTATGCGTACTTGTGCCCCAGCGGCCCACAAAAAACGGTGTTTTCAAGGAGTGTGACTTTAACGTTATTAACCACAATATCCAGAAAGCACTGACACCACGAGGGCTTCAATTGAGTCATTTTGAGCGAGAACTTCTCATTCACGCTGTCGTTTGGTAGGACAAAGTTGTACACCAGATTTTCACCTTCTGGACTTAGGTAGGAAATATCGAGTTTTCCTCGGATGCTTCCTGAGGAGGTTCGATCAGATAAGGTAGTTGTGGTTTCTGAAGTGTACAATTCATAGTGGTTGGCAGTTGGTATTGTTTCAATAGCAGCATGATGGTGAATCCGATTGCTTCCAACTCTGAGACAACGTTCATAATAGAACTGCTTTAAGTGTTCCCTTGTAGAGCAATACGTGTTGTACTGTTCCGCCTCAAGATGGCTGTATTGAAGCTGATCTTTTGTCACAGCCGAGTACATGATTCTTGCGCAACCATCGTTGAAATTGGGCTCTGAACCTAGAACCAGAAGACCTTCTTTTTTTCTGAAAGATGAGAGATTGTTCGATTCGGATCCCAGGGCCTCACTTTTGGTCAAATTTTCGACTTGTAGTGCCGTGATATACCATGTTGTGGATCCGACCTTAAAAGAACTTACATTGTGGGAGACGTAGTCGGAAGGATCTGCCTCAATCAACTCAGAGATTCTTCTTTCGACTTCTTCCTGGCCTTTGTCTTTTTTGATGAAATGTACGGTGTAAACCATTATGGTCAAGTTGAAAGAACCTTTTTTTGAAACGAGGATGCAAGGAAAATTGGCCGCTTTGAGCTGCTGGTCATTTTTTGTCAGGCATCAGAATTATTATTTCCAGATTTGTGGATGGAGGACGTGTGGGTCCTTTGCATGCCCTTGCAGCGGGTGGTGATCAAAATGGCGTTCTGTCAACTTCTTTGTTCTTTATGGTTGTTAGTCTCACAAAGCTTTTATATTCTTTGTCAGACTGGCTTGATGAGTGTAAAGCTATCATGGAAATGGAGTCGAATTCGAATATCAAGAGACTAAAGTAAGATTAGCTTCTTGTTGCACCACGATATCCAAATGCTTGATATTGTCATCCTCTCAAACTAAATACGATTGTTGCCTTGTAACAACTCTACACCTCTTTATGAGATCAGTTACAGATCCCTGGCACACAGCCAAAGAGGCTGCTTCTTCATTGTATTCTGTCAACGGTTTGTATCATTGAGATGCCCTTACACGGCCACAATCAAACGAGTAGTCCTTGTGAAACACCACCATCTACATATCAGCTAACTATCTAGCTCACACCTATTTCTTCTTGTAGTAGAATATCACAGAATTCTGTCCATAAAAAGCCAATATATATTGCTGGTGAAGATCAAGAGTCTCCATGAGGCCATTTATCGTACTGTAACAATTCAATGGGTTTAAGTACCGAAGGTTGACATTAGTGCGATAATGGTGAACCAGAGGGAACTTTTCTGTGCAGCTAAGCCGCATTTTTGACAGGTTGACATCTGAATAGAGGCAATCCGTAAAACCCATTAAATCATGTCTTTATTAATCTTTAGAATCTTCCACTTCCTTCATCGCCCCTGATTCGTAAGAAGGTGGCTCTGAAAGTTCACTATTCAAGGATTCGTAATCGCCAGCGACATTCACAACTTCTTCTGCTACGATATATTCCGTTGCAGCCATGAAAGAAGCAAGTTGTAGCTTCACCACAACTCGAGATTGTCTCAGAAATACTCGTCCAAAAATCGTGCTTTTTAACGAGAAAGTCTTGTTCTTCCAGAATTCTTCTGGAATGGTAACTTTTCCCTTTTTTAGCGAGAGTTTACCGGTAGAACCCTTGAACTGTCTGTCTTCCACAAGGTTGACTTTTCGCTCTGATGCAAAACGTTCTCCGTTAAACATCTGGGTCTCCTCAACGACCTCTATTGAAAGTCTCTTCAAATACACCTTTTTTGACTTCTTTGCCAGATGAATAACAATAGACCAGTCACGCCCAAAACCATCTAGACTCTGTATTTTCTTAGTGCAAATTTCTGCCCAGAAATTGTCACCAAAAGGCCTGTGATCTCCTGAATCGCTGCTCTCACACAAACTCAAGAAATCCGAGACTGCCATGTTGTCTTTACAGTTTGAGGAGATGAGACGGCAACCACTATCGAACATGACGACGTCGGTGAAGTCAGCACTCTTTAGGTTGAATTCACCAACAATAGCTTCTTTCTCAATTCTCCCTCTGTTTTCAGCAGGCCCGTATCTGGACATCACGATAACTGCAACAAGCCGATCTGGATATCCGATGACTGAAGAATGATAAGTCAAGATCTTGTCGCTATTAAGGGAAGCCACTTTGTTGAGAATACACTGATTGATGTCTTGTATGGCCGACTCAGACCTAGGAAACCTCTCGAGAAAAACATAGTCCTGTTTTTTGCACAACCTTTCTCCGTCAATATTGTACTTTGCGTTTTCCTCTTCTGGCACTGTGATTTTGGTCAGGGCGGTAAAAGTAGAAGTGCAACCCTTTGGGCATTCCAAGGAAACCAGAAATTCGAGAGCATATGTTCTGCAAAACTTATTGGAATAAATAGTGGCGCCCAATTCAGGAAGATTGCAAGCGTAGGAAGGGTAGTCGAGATAAAAGAGTGTCCGCCAAGATTTGGAATTCACTCACACATCTTTGAACGACTTATCAAAAAACACTTTCCTCTCAATCGACTCGTACACGTACTTGTGTTCAATTGGCATAACGCAGGTATTGGTTTCCACTAAAGTGATTTTGACTCTTGTTAGCTTAACAGCCAGTAAGCATTGACACCAACCGGGCTTGAACCGTCTGAAATTGAGCAGGAACCTGTCATTTATGCTTTGGTTTGGTAGGATGATGTGGAGACGATCTTGGTGTGTGTCACTCCGATCGACGATGTCCATTCTTCCTCGGATAGTGCCAGGAGAAGTCTGATCCAATATGGTTGAACTCTCCGAATATTCTTTTTCATAGACTTCTGCTGCTGCTTTTTTGAGGAAGCCATATTGAAGGTGGATCCGTCTTTCTCCAACTCTGAGACAAGGCATAATGGAGACACGGTTCTGTCGTTCATGAGAAGAGTAAGACAGAGAGTTTCTTGACGCTTCGAGGTGGCTGTATTGGAGTTGTTCCCTTTTCACAACCGAATAGACGATTCTTGGGCGCCCATCGTTGAAATTGGGATCTGATCCAAGAACCAGAAGACCTTCCTTTTTCCTGGCTGATGTGATCTGTTGTAACTCTGAATCCAGGGCTTCGCTTTTGGTCAAATTATTCTATCTAAGCAAAGTGGTATACCATGTTGTGGAGCCGGCCTTGATAGAATAGACTTCGTGGGAGACGTAATCGGATGGATCTGCCTGGATTAATTGAGAGATGCTCTGTTCGACATCTTCCTGGCCTTTGTCTTTTTCGATGAGAGGAATTACTAAACTCATTTCAATGGGGTATAAAGAGCTTGTTCAAGTAGAGGGAAAAGCTTGGCTGTATTTGTAGAAAATTGGTCTGAGCTGGTCATCGTTTCCTGTGATGCATGAGTATACTACACTTTCCGTTCCCGTCGAAGAATGGTATTCCAATGGGTTCTCGGAAATATTTTCCTGAATGAATGATACTTTTTGTTTTTGCCAGATTGCTGCTTTTGATAATATCTGTGTTCAGCTGAAAAGCACGGTAGAAGTGATCACCGCAGATTATCGAGTTCGTTCCCCATTTGAAAGTAGGCGATTGCCGAAGGTAAAGAAATTGAAGTAATGCTTTTTTGGCTCATTCTTAACCGAAATCAACTAAAAAAAAAAAAAAAAAAAAAAAGTTTCGAATGATGATTCATATTGACACATAGTTTCCTCTGGTTTTATTCATTGTAGAAACCTTCTCACTATAAGATCAGCACACATCAAGCTCAGCCAGGAAGTTAAGATATTGTTCGTTGTACCCCAAAATTAGATCTCAAACTTGTTCTACTTCAATTTGTTGATTTGGTGAATGGTTGAGATGTCACCCTATGGCTGATCAACCAACATAGTCATTCCAGAGAACCACCACCTACAATCAACGATGTATTCACTCCAGCGACAACAATGCCGCTTTAAAAAAACCACCTTCAATCAAAATAAATAAAATAAAAAGAAAAAAAAGGAAAAAACCGTCTCCAAAAGTGCCCCACCATCAACGACTCGTATTGGCTGCGAAAGGGTCCCATTCACGTGGGGTCCACCAAATCACCCAACAGCCCCTTCCTTCAACTAAAAAAAACTATAAATACGGCCCTTTGCCGCCTCAAATCGAAATCAACCAAAAAAAAGTAAAAATCTTCTTGGGCCCCCTCGGCACCTCACATGGACCGCTCATTCTCACCTTGCTCACCATGTCCTACTACCAACCCATGATCAACGTTTTCCGCCCACAATTCACACAAAACCTCCCGGCGTACCGGTACGAGACGCTGGAAAGCCTCACACGTGACGTCCACATCAAGGCCATCCACTCCCACAACGACTACTGGAGAAAAAGACCGCTTTTGGATGCCTTGCTGTGGGGTGTGGTCAGTGTGGAAGGCGACATCTGGCACTTTGAAAAGGGGTACACCGTCAGCGACACGGTCACAGAGACCACCCAGGAGTTCAAAAAAGACGAGATCTACGTCGGCCACAACCAGGTGTACCTTGAGCTGAGAAACACCTTGAACGCGTTGTACTTGGATCCATTGTACTACTTCTTGGATGGCGCCAATAAGAAGTTTTCCGAGCCGATTTTGGAGAAGACGGACTCCAAGTGTTCTGTGTTCTACGACGCCCCGGAGGTGCCGTTGTTTTTCTGGTTGGACTTGAAGACCGAGGGCCACGAGCTCTACTCCAAATTGAAGCCGTACCTCGAGAGATTCGTCGAAAAGGACTACTTGGCTCACTACAATGGCGAACACGTGGCAGGTCCGGTGGTGCTTACGTTGACGGGAGACGTGCCTTGGGATGTGATTGACCAGGAATCGGTTTCTGGAGAGAACCGCTATGTCTACGCTGATTGTCCCTTGCAGAAGTTCATGGAAGCCTCTGCGGACGAATGGAAGCGTTACGAACGTTCCTGTAAAATTGCCAGTGCTTCTCTTGAGCAATTGCTCGGAAAGGATCTCTATACCCTGGCTGTTCGTGGCTCGTTGACCAAGGAGCACCAGAAGAAGCTCAAGGGGTACTTTGACAAGGCGCACGAGCACGGCCTCAAGACGAGGATCTGGGGCGGTGTTGATTGGCCAATCTACGTGAGAAACTCCCACTGGAGGGCGCTTTGGGAGCTTGGCTGTGACTTGATCAATGCCGATGATTTGCGTGCTGCAGCCACGTTGTTCTGAGGCAGTGGAGAGGAGGTGGTTTTGAGAATGATTTGAAAGACGTTAGAGACGTTGAAAAAGGACGTCGCAGATGGTGGTATGACCATGGCTCGCTCGATGTGAGTCTATCCAGACACTGTGATGCAGAAGATAATATACGTTTGAGTTTAGGGTCGATTGAAGGCTCCTAAGACTTTTTTGAACATATCAGGTGTAGAACGTTTTCATTGTGTTGGTGCTTGTAAGATCTATTGTAGATGAAAGAACTGGATAAGATGTATCGATTAACCTAATTGATATTTCTCGTAATTCAAATTGAGTCATCATGAAGCTGCCTACTTAAATAAAGCAATAACGTTGCTGCTATTTCCCAAACTACAATTGCAGTAATGCTTCTTCGTTTGCCTGTTTGTCTGTTTGTCTGTTTGTCTGTTTGTCTGTTTGTCTGTTTGTCTGTTTGTCTGTTTGTCTGTTTGTCTGTTTGTCTGTTTGTCTGTTTGTCTATTTGTCTATGGATGTCTATCACCGGGAACCCCGGCTGTATAATAAATAGTCTGTCGCTACGTCTCCCGAGGTCCCTAAAAATTGGTCTTGAGGTACTCGTAGACGTAAAAGATAACGGCATTGGCTGGAATCGAACGGATCAATGTGATGGAAAGTCCGTTGTAAAAGTTGGTGATGCCGCCTTTTCTGGACATCAACGTCGCCACCGCCTGGCTGATTTTGAGCTTTTCCAGCGCCGGCAGCGTCACATCGTGTGTCTGGATCATCAGCTTGACGGTGTCAACTGGGAAAATGGATAAATTGAACATGAACCCAGCAGCGGCGCCCGAAAGCAAGCAGTTTGTGTTTTCAGCCGCTGGATACGTCTTTTTAAGCGCCGCTAGCGACTCCTCGTACGTGGCAAACCACACGGCGGTTCCAGCCATTTCTCGAAGAAGTGTAGAACCTAGACCGTGCCAGAGTCCGAAAAGACCCTCTTTCTGCATGATTCTGGCCACCACGGACCCGTACGACGCCGTTTTCGAATGCGTGTGTAAATTCAGAACCTGCAATTTGCATTTGACAAGCTCCACGGGGGTCAAAACGAACGAAGCAGCAAAACCCGAAAAAGCACCTGAAGCACACACCGCAGGAAGACCGTTTCGTTCCCAATTGGTCGTTTTTTTGACGATCTCCTGGCCATACTGAAATGCTGAAAAAAGCACAGCGTTTTCCATACATGCTCCGACCATGGGAGCCCGGATTCCCTTGTAGAAACCGTTGATGAGACCTTCGTTTCGAAAAGTCGACCCCACAACCTGCAACGTCGAAAGCCTGCTGGGAGCCAGTTGGAGCCGCACTTTCACCGTGTCAAATGGAAACTCGATGAGCTTTCCCACACACCCAGCGGCTGCTCCAAACGCCACTTCCTTAGCTGGATCTACCATGATGAGGATTCAATGGGGCGGAGGAGAAGGCAAACGGCAGGGGAGGGTTTTCACAAGTGGGTGGACGCGTTAGATACAGGATATTTTTGGTTTTTCAGGTGGTTTCCGGCCTGGGTGGGGCGTGGTGCAGTTGGCGATGTAGTTGTAGGTGACTCAAAGATGAGTATTTCGCAGATGAGATGGCGGGGTGGATCTGGGGTGGACCTGGGGAGGACAAAGTCGAAGAAGGAAGATTTATATGTTGTTTAGAGAAAATGGAGAATTGGAGGTTTTGTGATTTGGGTGATTTTGCTGGCTTGGTTGGCATGGTAGAATGGTGTACTCGTTGCAGCCAATCTGACGCACTGCAATAAGCGATACGGTGAGGTTGTAATAAGCAATACGGTGAGGTTGAAAATTTATGCTTTTCAGGCTTTTTTGGATTTTGAGAAAATGGGAAATCTCTTTAAATCTTTTCAAATTACGCTTTGCATGTATTTGAACAAGGCTAGATCAGGTAGTATATGGCGCTACACTATATACTCAGCGATACAGAGTACATTGAACAGTATAGCTATCTAGATACATTTTCATGTACATTTCTCAACCATATTATTTCTGGCCTTTAGCTGAAAAGACTGACTGTTACATCAATTCTCTTCCACCGCTAAGACATCTACACACCACTCTCTTATACTAGTATTACTATATGACAGCCTATCTCAATGGGATGAATCTGGAAGAAGCGTTACCGGCTCTACCGTGTCTGACTGGGGTGTAGGTGATGGAGAACTCACCCAAGTAGTGGCCAACCATCTCTGGCTTGATCTCAACGGTGTTGAAAACCTTACCGTTGTAGACACCAACCAAGGAGCCAATCATCTCTGGAACAACAATCATGTTTCTCAAGTGGGTCTTGACGACAGCTGGCTTCTCGTTAGCTGGGGCAGCCAACTTGGCGGCTCTCAACTTGGTGATGAAACCCATTGGCTTGGCACCCAAGCCTCTGGAGAATCTTCTTCTGACTCTGGCGCCGCAGAGCTTGGTGAACTCGTCAGTGTCCATCTTCAAAAGCTGCTCAAGGTCAACGCCCTTGAAGGAGAAGGTCTTGAAGGTTCTCTTCCTGGTGTCTGTTGGTTAGTATTGGTTTGGGGTAGGGTGGTAAAGCAGATGGACATGTATTGAAAAGCAATCGTTCATTACTCAACGTGGAATCATATGATGGTCATTTGTTGTCGATAGTTGGAACTTCGGTGGATTTCATCGTGATCGAACATAACTTCGTTGGACGGGAATAACTCGAGAAATATAGGGTCTTTTTGAACGGGGACTTCGAGGACGTATTTGGAACGGTGACGGGATTTCATATCAAGCTCATCTGCCTGGCGTGGGTGGGTACATACTAGTCTCAGCCATGGTTGTGTGGTTGTAACAGAAGAAAAATCTAGGATTATGGATGAAAATTTTTGTCTGGTAGGGAGTGTATGGGGCTGCAGCGGTGCGGGAGTTGGAGTCACGTGAGCCACAGAGGTTAACTAGCGGTTTGGCGCGGCTGGAGCCCTAGACGAGAGTATGTTATGTGGTCACGTGACCCAGTGACGTTCTTTTGAAAAATTACGGTACCGTCATCCCCAGTCATGTGGACTGTTCTGGTGCAAAGTAAGCAACCATACACTTTTATTGGCTTGAAACTAGTCTACATGCCAAATTTCAGCCCAATTGCAGCAGGTTTAGTGGGTTTTGACGGAGGGTTTGGGGAGCCCAATAAACACGGTCACGTGACCTGAATTTTCCCAACACCCCTGAAAGACGACTTCGGGGCCATAAAGCTTTTTGTTTGTTAAATTTACCACTACAAGTTACCCTCAAAGCAAATAAGTTACGGTTTTAACCGGGTGGGGCCGACTAGGTGGACACCCAGAGTGGCCATCTTGGGGCCCGGAGGTACAGGTGTCTATATATGCGAAAAAAATCTTCATACTCAATCTCCATCCAAAGGATAGTCTGCACTTTTCCGCTTAAACTGATTATTCTGTAATGAAGTACCTCGCTGCTTACCTTTTGTTGGTCCAGGGCGGTAACGCCAACCCCTCCGCTTCTGACATCTCCGCTCTCTTGGAGACCGTTGGTGCTGAGGCTGACGAGTCCAGAATCTCCACCTTGTTGTCCGAGTTGGACGGCAAGTCTGTCGAGGAGTTGATCGCCGAGGGCAACACCAAGTTGGCTTCCGTGCCTTCCGGTGGCGCTGCTGCCGCTTCTGGCTCTGCTGGTGCCGCTGCCGGCGGTGCTGCTGAGGCTGCTGCTGAGGAGAAGGAGGAAGAGGCCAAGGAGGAGTCTGACGACGACATGGGCTTCGGTTTGTTCGACTAAGTTAATAGCGACGTTTAATAGACTGCTCATTCCAGAGAGTTGTAGGATTGTAGGTGGATGGAGGTGATTGGATGGTGTGTTTTGAGAGGATGGTGATTTGTGATGATTGGCTGGTGGTTTGTTAGCATGATGCTGATAGTGGGGTGGTGAAAAGGGCTTGAAGGGCATTTGTGTGGGTTTGGCTCGTTGAATGTTTGCCGTTGGTTGACTGTTTTAGTTCATGGTGTGGATGGATCTTACTGCGCAGTGCTGAGTAGAGGGTGTGAAAAATCGGGCCCTGAAGGCATTTTTCGATATCAGAGTATTAGCTTTGGATTCGGAAACTAAGGTTCATTTGCTTTTCATTTACTCTTCACATCTTGAAGGTATTGCTGGTTCTAGTATGGGTTCACTCACTATTGGGCTACCTATGCACGGCTGAAGTGGTATTAAGATCTGGTAAGGAGGAGCTTGGTTCAGTGATTCTGATAATTTTTATAATTTTAGGAAGCTCATTGTACTTGAAGCTCGTTATATCAAGTCTTGAAAGAAAATAGAAAATCTTATTCAAAAGTTATGGCTAAATCGGACGACTGAGAAGAGAGCGATCCATATTTGGATAAGTGACTTTTACTTACTAGCATCAATCTATGATAAATATCTGACGTCAAAACTCATTTCAAGCAGGTAGCAGTCACCTTTTGACACACGGAGTATGTTGATGCACTCGAGGGTGCATTACATGTGAGCTTTTGTATCTGATGAGTATGGAGCCCAACTGAGCTCCTCTAGTTTACATGAATCTCACAATTTAAGCTAAGTCTCTCTTTAACAAACCACCCTGAATTCACCAGTAATACGTTTTGTGAGTCGGCTAACCATCAATTCGGATGCGCTATGTTGGATGTGCTATCCTCGATGCATGTCTCACCCTGGACGTTGATAATACCATACGAACTCAAATTGGAGCAAATATGTCCATGAAATATGATCAATAAGCTCACCTCATTCCGTAGAGCCATATTCCAGTACTCTATCCGCTCTGATTCTGATCGAAAGCCCGCTTCATGATCTCTAATCAAAAGTACCTCGCTCCATGGCCTCTTACCCCGTAGACCACTAAATAGGCCTTTCCTGTCCAATTAAACACACCAACCTTATTTCCATCCAAAAACGAAAACCGAACTTATCCCTCCCTCACTAGCTCTGTGAAGTGGCATACTCGAGCTTCTCCACAATAATCCGGAACCGCGTAATCTGCGCTTCAAGGCCGTCCTTATCCAGAAAATCCGCCTCCCGTAGCGTTTCTGTCTTTTTCGCCAACATCTCCAAATACGCGTGTTTCTGCTGCTGGTATATGAGCGCCTGACTCTGCTGTATAAGCTGTTCTCGAAGCTTCGTGTATCTCTGTCGGAGCTCCTCGTTGGACTCTTTGCGGGAGGCCACGTCTTCCTTAATTTCCTCCTGAACCGCCTTGGCGTACTCCTTCTCTAGCTTCTTCTTCAGAATCCTCTCGACCCTGGCCTCATCATCCACAATCAAACCTTCCTGATCCCTTTCGTCTTCTTCCATGGCATCCTCCTCCACCTTCTCCTCGTCATCTTCTTTAGCATCCAAAGCAAATAAGTAAGTTGGCTCCGGGAGAACCTCGGCCAATTCTTGTAACTTACTCACTCGTTCATTGATCGAAAGCCCTCCTTGGGATTCTGGAACAATGACAGGCTGAATAAGCTGCTGGACTCTCTGTAGCTGCTCATTCACCTTTGAAAGCTTGTCGTGCTCGTTTTTGAGGATCTGCTGCACGAGCTGGTGTACCACTTGTTTGCTGAATCTGTGCTTGTTTTGCCTTTTGATATGTAGATTGACCTTGAGAAGGCCGTTTTTGATCTTTTCTTCGGGAATTCCGTACTTGTCCATCACGCGCCGCACCTCGTCGGTGATCTCGACGGGCTGGCTGACTTTGCTGATTTGTTCTTCGACAATTCGCTTGATCTCAAGGTAGGACATAATGGTTGCAAAATAGAAAACAGAGCGGGTTGATGTAGGGCACACCCGTACACCAGACATGGTCACCCACCAAAACCCCGCTTCCCGACTAAATGTCCATATTTAAACTGTCTTTTTGCTATAATGGAAGTGCAATAAGTTGCTTGGCTGCCCCCCTTCCCGCTTATCGGGGGACCTCCTCGGGTAAACCGGTCATCGTCAAAAACGGTCACGTGACCCTACACACTAAAAGCAAGCCAGGGTTTCTTATCACACCACAATGGACCTTCTTACCAACGTTTCACGGCCCATCTACGACCCGATTCGGGACGGAGCCGGCTACAGAGCCGGGACCCGGATAGCCAGGGTGCAGTTGCTCGTGGCGTTGTTCCTCGGCCTTTCGGCGTTTCTTATCTTTTGTATTCTACGAAAGAAGTACCCCAGGATCTATGTGGCCAACTTCAACCGAATCAACCAAAACTACGTCCACAGCCACCTGCGGCAGAACTTGCCGCCGCTTCCACAGAATCTGCTTTTTGGCTGGGTGCCTATTGTTTTTAAGATAAGCGAGAGCCAGGTGCTAGAACATGCTGGTTTAGACGCTGTTGTGTTTCTTGGTTTCTTCAAAACGTGTATCACGATTCTTGCCACGTGTGTTGTTTTTGCTGTGACGGTGATTCTGCCGGTCAGATACAAGTACACTGGCCGGATGGACCTTCCAGATCCAGACGACGATGATGATCGTAACTCTACCCTGATAAGGCTGGCTGGGTTTCACGCCAATCTTGTGGAGCTTCTCAAGCATAAGAAACCCGATCACGAGCCTATTTTGTGGATGTACACGCTTTTCACGTATATCTTTACTGGTCTTGTAATTTACTTGCTTCACAAGCAGACCTTGAGGATTATCGATATGAGACAGAGGTACCTTGGTAAGCAGAGTTCGATCACGGACCGCACGATCAAGCTTTCTGGGATTCTGCCTCTGTTACGTGAAGAAGAGGCGTTGAAAAGACACATCAACCTGCTTGGCGTGGGAGAGGTTCATGATGTAGTGGTGGTGAAGGAGTGGAATGCACTCAATTCGTTGATCAAGATGCGCCGCAAGGTTATGAGACACCTCGAGATGGCCTGGGTGGAGTATCTCGAGACAAACGGGTTGAACAACACGACGGATGTCATGACTTCCAGAATACGACCTTCGATAGGCGATCTGTTCAATCTCCACCAGCCTCTGGGTACAGCATTCACCGATGAGGAAGAGGGTTCTAACGAAGTGCAAAGCGATGCAGCTTCAGCAGCCTCCTCTCCATCCATTATCGATCAGATTTCTGAGCACATTGACGATCACGATACGCTTGAAGGAAGCGCCAGTCAACTTCCCCTTCTCAACGACGATGCTGCCAAAAGACCTAAAATGAGAAAAGGTTGGCTCGGCCTCTTTGGGCCAGAGGTCGACTGCATCAGCTACTACACCAACCAGCTTGAAATCATCGACAAGGAAATCAAACGCTACAGACTTCGCGAGTTTCCTCCTAGTTCCACGGCCTTCATCACAATGCGTTCTGTGGCTCAGGCCCAGATGCTCGCTCAGGCTGTACTTGACCCCAAGGTGAATCACTTAATCACGAGCTTGGCTCCAGCTCCTCACGATATCATCTGGGAGAACCTTTGCTTGACGAGAAAGGAGCGTAACACGAGAATTTTCTTTGTCATGGTTTTCATCGGTCTTGTTTCGGTGCTTTTGGTGTTCCCCGTGAAGTTCTTGTCCAATTTCTTGAACGTTAAGACGATCTCCAAAATCGCCCCAAAGCTCGGTGAATTCCTCAAGGACCACCAATGGGCCGAGTACCTCATCACGGGTATTTTACCACCCTATGTCTTTACCATTTTCAACATCGTCATGCCGTACTTCTACATTTGGGTCACAAAAAGGCAGGGCTACACTTCACACGGTGACGAGGAATTGTCCATCGTGTCCAAAAACTTCTTTTACATATTCGTGAACTTGTTCCTTGTCTTCACGCTCTTCGGAACGGCTATAATCAGCGACACTGCCCAACTTGCCTACCAGTTGGCCTACTCGCTTCAAAAGTTGAGTTTGTTTTATGTGGATTTGATTATTCTTCAGGGTATTGGTATCTTCCCCTACAAATTGCTTCTCTTGGGAAACCTTCTCAAGTACCCAATCGGCAACATCTTCTGGTGCAAGACCCCAAGGGACTATCTCGATCTTTACAAGCCACCAGTCTTTAATTTTGGGTTGCAGTTGCCACAGCCCATCCTTGTATTAATTATCACAATCACCTACTCGGTGATCTCGACCAAGATCCTCACCGCAGGATTGATTTACTTCATTATTGGCTACTTTGTCTTCAAGTACCAGTTGCTTTACGCATGCGTCCATCCACCTCACAACACCGGTAAAGTCTGGCCTTTGGTGGTGAGAAGACTGATTTTGGGCCTTTTGATTTTCCACACCACCATGTTTGGTACCCTTGCATCGCAAAAGGCTTTTGTCTGTGCAACGTTTATGATTCCATTGGCCATATTCACCTTGTTCGTGCTTTGGAACTTCCATAAGCACTACATTCCATTGTCTTCGTTCATCGCCTTGAGAGCCATCGAAAACAACCAGTTGCCATTCCATGGCGACGAAGAGGAAGATCTTGTGGGCGATAATGATCTGGGAAGGGGCCAAACCCTTGACGAGCGCAGAGAGTTTTCTCAGACGTACGAGTATCCTGATTTGATCAACGACCTCGATGGTCCTATTATCGCGTTGGAAAACAATCAGATTCTTGTGATCGGGCCTGATGGACACACCGCCAAAAAGCCCATTCCTGAATTTTAGTCGGCAAAGAGTAACTTGATCATTTTAGCCTGTTCCTGCCAAAGTACAAGCTCGCCAACGAACAACTGGGTGAATGTTGAGTCGCTGAAAGCCGCAAGCAAAAGACTGATTGCAAACTTGCGGAACAAGATCAGCACAATGGATGCGCCAACGACAATGGCTGAAGTCAGCAAGTATGAGGATCCAATGTTCATTCGAAGTGCCTCGATGGTATTGATCAAGCCTAGGATATCAACCACGGCCGAAGCCACAGTGTGATTATCGTAAGGCCAAATCAACATGATGATGGGAATGCATTTGATGGATAAGGACATGAAAACCGTCAGCAAGAGCACAGCCACAAGGTATCCTCGTTGAAACCTCGGAGGTAGGTTATTATTGGGCTCTTTTCCCCAGCCTATAAAGAACCTGAAGCACTTGTCTATAAGCACACAGAGCACAACACGCTCGGCCAATTGCTGGTATATGAAAAACAAGTATTGAAGCGGAACTGGTTTCTGCAAAATACGTGCCACTATGATACTATGCGTCTCATGCTTTTCCTCGTATGCCCAATTGAGGTACACCTCAAAGAGGATAGTGAGGGCAGCATAGCGCAAAAGCAGCTTGTACCTTTCAAAAAAGGGTATACTGTTTTTGTTGGAAAAAATGGAGCTTTCCACGACGTTGTATGCCAAATGCCGGTATGCTTGGGGTTTGAGGAGGAGCACATCCAAAAAGAGTATGACATAATCGAACTCTATATACTTGTCTGCTAGGTTGCCACACTCAGGACAGACAGTCATTTGGATGTACTTGCTTTTAAACTCCGTGAAGAGCAGCTTGATGTTTGGGTTTGCGCATTCCACACAAATCATGCCATGGTTGGAAAGTTCTACTGTGTGAGTTGCACGCCTGGAGGTGTTGATAATGTGAGGTGTACGGGTGCAGGCGTGGCTGCAACTGCCCATGTACGGTTATGTAAATTAATTATTATATGCTTAAAGTGGCCTAGTGGCCTATGCTAATGACAGATTTGTTGTGGGGGTGGTATTTCAGGAACCTTGCCGAGGGTGAAAGCAGGTTCATCGTATGCATCTGGGTAAGGCTCAGTAGTGCTGTTTGCCTGTGATGTGGTTGAGGCCTGATTACTTGTAAAACCGCCAAATCCTGAATCGGTTTGCGTTGGTGCCTGGGTTCCAGCCGCAGGCTGTGGAGCGAATGGATTTTGTGCTGGTTGGGCTGCAGCCTGGCCAAATGGTGAGGTCGTATTTGGTGCACTTTGACCAAATGCAGATTGAGATTGTGCTTGTCCACTGAAGGCACTGGGCTGAGAGCCTCCAAAACCCGATTGGCCGAATCCAGAGGGTTCTGGTGTCTTTGCGGCTCCAAATGCACTGTTTGTATTGGTCTGGCCAAAACCGCTTTGACCAAATGCTGAACCCGACTGAGTGGATGTGCTAGACTGGCCAAAGGCAGAGCCTGAATTACCGGTATTGCTTGTGTTAGAGCTGCCAAACCCCAGTTGGCCGAAGCCTGATTGTCCAGACCCTGACTGACCAAATCCTGATTTGCCAAACCCTGACTGGCCGAAGCCCGACTGTCCAAATCCTGATTGTCCGAAGCCTGCCTGGCCAAAGCCCGCTTGGCCAAATCCAGAATTCAGCTGGGCGGGTTTATTTTGTGTAGTACCTTGGCTGCCAAATGCTCCGCTTCCTGATGTACTTTGTGACCCGAAAGCTCCTCCACCTGATGTGTTCTGCGACCCAAAAGCACCACTTCCACCTGTATTTTGAGAGCCAAAAGCGCCACTTCCGCCTGTGCTTTGAGAGCCGAAAGCACCGCTTCCTCCTGAAGTCTGGGAACCAAAGGCCCCGCCCAGATTTTGAGATCCAAACGCACCTCCAGTGCTTTGTGAGCCGAAAGCTCCGCCAGTCAGTCCCAGAGAGCCAAAAGCTGAACTGCCAAAGGCCGAATTCTTATTATCTGTTTTGCCAAATCCTGATTGGCCGAATGCTGAGGGTTGTTGCCCGAATCCGCTTTGGCCAAACGCAGAGGACTGGTTATTCTGTGAGCCAAAAGCTGAGTTCTGAGTGTTCTGCCCACCAAAGGCCGAATTTTGAGTGTTTTGCTGTCCAAACGCCGAAGGTTGTGTATTTTGCTGTCCAAAGGCAGATGTGCTTTGTGAACCAAAGGCCCCACCTGTGTTTCCAAATGGTGAGGAGCCGAAGCCAGAGGAGCCGAAGCCTCCAGAGTTACCAAAACCGGACCCACCAAAACCAGCGTTGTTCTGTAAATCGTTAATACTCTGCTCTAATGTCTTGGGGATAAACGGCTTGATCAGTTCTTTTCGTGTCGCTCCGACTTGCTGGTATCTTGCGGCGAGGCTGTCCTTCGATTTGATTTCGTTGACGCAATACTCCATATCCTTTTGCCTCAATTCCAAGTTCTTGTCATAAGCCTGCAAACTATTGTTGGCGACTGCCTCCATGTACTGTAGTCTGAGCTCTTCAGCCGACATATCCCTGCCTTCAATCAAACTATTGGCCGTAAACTCATTGTAACCGTATGTTGTCAAAGTGGGCTTGAATTGAAAATACGGGAGTTCGCTGAGATCAGTCTGGATGGTTTTAGCCAAGTCATTTGGGTTTCTGTCTTGGAAGGCTTTTAACGCCAGATTGGTCGGTTGCGAGCCAAAAAGCAGCTGGCCTGACGGATGAAAGAACTTGCACGAGTTCCCAAAACGGCAATTACCCTGTTGAAAGAATTTGCATACCTGTTTAGGTGGCATTATGGGAAGTAGCCTGAATGAAGAAGAGCTGGAGAAACAAGCGTTGAAGATGCGTCTCACACCCGTACCTCTCAAATGGCTGCAAATGGCTGCAAATGTTCTGAGCGGTGGAGGAGGATCAACAAACATTATTTGTTTTCTTTGAATTTTAGAAATTCAATTTATGTGAATGTTCTGGCGCCACTTCGCTTTGAGTGTCTGACGCATAGTAACCAAAAATGCTCAGTTCTTTCGGTTCATCACAATCCCCTGTTGGTTCTGATAAAGGTATCGGTAATGACGTGCCCTTTCTGGTTACTCTCCATGAATGCCTCTTTGTAGAGCGGTAAAAGCTGAGATATAACTCCCACTTTCGTGATCTCTCCTCTCGAAATCTTTTGCAAGAATCCCTCCATTGCCCTTCGCAAAAACGGCTTCAGCAAGGAGATTCTATCGATAAGTATAGCGTCAAACGCCTCAATGAGCGAGATTCCAAGCGAAGTGGGGATGAATGTCTCCGTTTTTCCAATTTTTCTTCGGGTGATGTAGTTTCTTTGGATAATCTTTTCGACATGATCGGCAATTGTAGCATCAGTGCCGATCCCGTTAGCGTCCATAAGAGCAATAAGCTCTGCTTCTGTCATGTAATTCGGTGGACTGGTCTTTCCCTCTTTTACCTTGCAACTTGAAGGCTGGACCTCCTGGCCTTCGGTGAACGCCGGAAGTTGTGCCAGTGATTTCCAGTCTGAGTATGGGTATACGTCCAAGAAGTTACGCTCGGTGACTTGGAGCCCCAGAGCGGTAAAGCGCTCCAGACGCCACTGGAGATCAATTTTGGTTTGGAGGCCTCGGGCGTCGTCAGAACAACATGCTAAAAACCGGCGGACCACAAACTCGTAGACCTTCTTCTGATCAGGCCTCAAGACGTCTAGCGATGCAAATTTTACTGGATAAATCGGTGGATGCGCTTTATCATCGTGCTTGCCGCCTCTGGGAGCTCTAAAAGCGCCCTGAACGAGATTTATAGCTTGGGAGCCCCATAGCGGGCTTTGGGTCTGTTTTGAGATGTAGCTCTGAAGATCAAGCTCGGCAGGAAAGCGATCTGTTTCGGTACGTGGGTACGAGATGAAACCTGCTGTATAGAGCAGTTCTGCAGCATCTAGGGCCGCCTTGGCCAGCATCCGGAAGTAACGTGAGCAGCATTTCTGTAAGTCCACGGTAGTCAACGGAAGCGGTTTATAGTGGGAGGCTGGTTTCGTGTTGACACCGACGATCCGAGGTTTTTCAGGACCCTCGAGAAGCTGAGCATATAGCACGTACGCGAACATTTTATCAAAAAGATGGTTCCTGGCCCACGAAAAGTTCACCTTCTGTCCGTCTTTCGTGACAATCAACTCAATCGACCAGAACGGTTCAGGCCGGAACTTCCGTACACGAATGTACCGGTCCACGACAAAACTCAATGTCGGAAACTGACACGTCCCGTACGACACCACCTCCTTGTCGCCCACTAGCCTCTTGCTTTTGTAGATATTGGTGAGAAAACGAGTGAACAGCGTTCCCACACGGAGATCGAACTCCGTACGGCATTCCACGGCCTCCACGAGCCGCATGTCCAACAGTTTCGGGTTTCTGGCGGCCTGAATTACATGAGAAGGCTCCAAGTGGGAGAACTGTGCTCTCCAGGTCGTTTCCAACGTGATCCTTCGATTGGCTCCCAGCGCCACTTTCATGATTTCCCACCCAATATACTCTCCTTCTCGATCGCAATCCGTCCAGATCATGAGTCTGTCGGCGCCCCGAGCCTCCTTGACGATATTCTTGTGGATTCCAGCTCTCTGATCGCTATCTGGAGGAGGTTTTGTCAAAAACGGAGCGTCAAAAAGCCTTCCTGGCGGGCACTTGCCCCATCCGTATTCAGGCCCGAAATCCGTGCTCAACACGTGGCCCGCCACGGCTGTCATGGTGACTTCACAGGAGCCCAAACCTGGAAAGTTATACGTGAAGTCGTAGTTCTTGACGTATTTATACAAGCTGTTTCGAGGCCTGACGCGTCCACCAGATAGAACGTTGGCGACCTCCTTGGCGATGGAGTTCTTTTCCGCCACACAGAGCACCCGCATTGCATATATCGGGGTTGGTGCTTCTTTTCAGTTGTAGTAGCTGGATTATCAACATCCTGCACGCGCTGTAGATGCCTTCCTACCACTCGGACTACTTCTTCTACTAGGGTATCCTGAAAAAACGCCTATGAAGGACTTTGATGCCAAATTGGGCACGCTCTTGGAGTGGCTTAGCGCCAACACGGCTCTGTCGCTTGTTTCGGGGAAAATTACCGTGAAAAATACACCCGATTCCGGTAGAGGTCTCTACGCCACAGGCCGAATCGGGTCTCTGGAGGAAATTGTGAACGTGCCACACCTGCTTTTGCTCAATTTCACTACGGCACTTGCACACGTGTCGAAATTTGCCGGTTTTGGCTTGTCGGAACCGCATTATGCCAAAATCAACGTCCCCAAGACTCTGCAAGATCAAATCACCCAGATCTACAAGAAACTCACGCTCGAGGGCATTTTGGCGCTTCTGTCGTTCCAGTTCTTGAGCGCCTACATTGTGCTTGAAAAACGCCGTGGAACAAACTCCTTCTGGAAACCGTTTTTGGATATGCTTCCTGAACTAGAGGAGCTCTCCTTGGCTCCTGTGGTGTGGACGGTGCTTCAATCGCCTGGCCACGAGGATCTCACAAAGTACTTGCCCAGATCCACAAGAAAACACACAGAACGTGTCGTTAAGCGTTTTGAAACGGACTACTCCACAGTTAATGCATTTTTAGACCTCACCCTAGACAAGGTCGAGTTTCTCTGGGCCTGGATGTGTATCAATTCCCGTTGCTTGTACATGGAGATGCCACAGAAAAAGGACTCGAGCGACAATTTCACCTTGGCGCCGTATGTGGATTTCCTAAACCACCTGGGAAACGACGAATGTGGAATAAAGATAGACACCCACGGGTTCCATGTTCTTACTTCAACAGCCTACACGCCCGGCATGGAATTGTATTTCAGCTACGGACCCCATTCCAACGAGTTTCTTTTATGTGAGTACAGTTTCACGATCCCACAGAACCGGTGGAACTACATCGACGTTTCCGACTATATCACACCGCTTCTTAGGCCCCAGCATGTGGCTTTCCTCGAGGAGGCAGGCTACTACGCAGACTACACCATCAACGATATGGGAATGTCGTTCAGAACAGAAATAGCACTAGCGGCTTTGCAAGAATCCGATCCAGCTCAATCTAGAAAGCTCCAGGCTTTCGTGGATGGCATATCTGATGGCACGGTGTATCAGCTCAAGAGCCATGTGCTTTTGAAGCATATTCTTACGAAGATCGTGGGAGACTGTGAGAAGAAGTTGGCCATCGACACGGAGGATCCTAGGATGAAGGCCATTTCTGTGCTTTACAGCGATACAAAGGCTATAGCCGAGAGGACCATTGAGGAAATCGGCGGATAAGCTTCTACATCGCTACCTCCGTGTCACGTTGTTCATGCTATTTACAATTCCCCCAAGCATTATATATCATCAAGGGCGGACTTTTCGATTCCACGCTCGATCGATACCTTATTTTTCACCATCAGCACCAACAACTTGTTCGTCAGCGTGGGAATGCCGTGCTTTTTCCCAAGACCGACAATGTAACCGTTGATGCCATCGATCTCGGTCTTGTTCATGTGTCTAACGTCCTCTCTCATCGAGGAACTGTTTTGCGATGTTGCCTTGCAAACTTCCAAAACGGTGTTGATGAGTCTATCTGGATCTAAGCGCATTCTGGCGCCGTCAATCTCCTCGATTTGAGCACCAAACTCGGCTTGAAAACACTGAACAGCCTCTTTGGTCACCTTCTTCATCATGGGGATAACCTGAGCGCCGTAAAGAAGATCGCCATTGAAACAATCTAGCAATGCCGTGAGTGGGTTGATGCAAGCGTTCACCACCAACTTCTCCATTTGCGTGATGAGCATGACGTTCAGAGAAACGTAGCTAGCATTGAGGCCAGAACACTTCAAGAGATCCTGGATCATTTCCGGTGTTTCGGTATTTTTCGTGAACTTGGGTGCTATAGTGAGCTTCCCCATTCCAACGTGGTTCACCTGGTTCGGCGTCAGCTTGTATGCCCCGTGTGTCGAGATAGCCTCGTATATGGAAGGCATGTTTCCAGAGTACGCCCAAAAAGTGCTTTTGAGCTTCTCAGCCATGCCCATGCCGTTTTGCAATATTAGCACGTTCAGGGTCTCGTTCAAAAACGGAATGTATGGACCGAGAGCGGTGACGGTGGAATGCGATTTTGTGGAAATGACAAGGTTCTCGATCGGACCGCTCACAGACGGTAGCGGCGCCAATTCGCCCTTGATGGTTTGAGCTGTAGTCTCCACAGACTCGTTGTGCGGCCTCACTAAGGTGATTTTCGATCCTGCCGAAAGATACAGCCCTAGACGCTGTTTGGACTTGAAAAGCAACACGGGGTCTTTTCCTAATCGGGCTAGCTCATGCGCCACAAGCAGCCCCATGGCCCCTGCACCGAGGATCTTGGTTGCCATGGTTGGTAGTAGTAGACTTTTCCGGATGAGCATCAACAGTTGATGCAGTCCCCACCGAAGTCTACCCTAGATAACACCAGAGGGCAAACAGAGGCGGATGCAGATTTCAAAATGAAACCTGAAATTTGAAAATCCGGCCGTCTGAATAATTCATCCGTTTATTATATTTTCTTGTGTTGGTGCCACGTGACTTCACCTACAACTCCACACCCCGGATTCTCAATTTGGTTTCTCACCATACCATGCTTGTTATCGGACTCACTGGCGGCATTGCCAGCGGCAAGTCTACTGTCTCCAAAGAATTCGCCGAAAACGGAATTCCCATTATAGACGCTGACGTCATTGCTCGTCAGGTGGTGGAGCCTGGCAGAAAGGCTTACGAACAAGTTGTGGCTGCTTTCAGTGACGATGTGACTGGATTGGTCGACCCTACAGACGCTTCGCTCAATCGGCCTGCTTTGGGAAAAGCTGTTTTTGGAAAACCAGAAAAACTCAAGGTTTTAAACAAAATCGTCCATGGTGCCGTCAAGAAGGAGATGGTCTGGCAGCTTGCTAAGGCCTATGCGGGGGGTCACAAGATGGTGATTTTGGACGTGCCGCTTTTGTTTGAATCGGGTATTCACAGCATTTGCGGTGCCACCGTGACGGTTTTTACGGAAAAAGAAACGCAGCTCAAGCGTCTTTTGGAGAGAAACCCTGAACTCTCTGAGGAAGACGCCCGCAACAGAATCGAAAGCCAGCTTTCCAATGAAATTAGAAACTATAGAGCCGATATTGTGTTGGACAATAACGGAAGCGTGGGCCAGCTCAAGGAGAACGTCAAGTCTGTCCTTGCTGAGCTCTCACCCAATTGGTTCTGGCATTACGCAGACTTGATCCCACCAATTGGCTTTGCTCTGGCCATATTGACTGTGGCTCTTCGTGCTGGCCGTGACTATTACAAGGGAACTATCCCACCCAAGAAGGAGAACTAAGCTCTCCAGTATTGCGCCAAACTGTGAAGGGCGTCAATGACAACGGGCAAGAAAGCGTTGACACTGTCGATGATGAGGTTCTGGAAATGAAGAATCGCCAGCTCCTCGGTCATTTCTAGGGCAAACTTCTCCTCGACCTTCTCCACCACACGTTTCGGATCGATCTGGATATCAGGTATATTCGCATTCAACATCAACTGGAAGAGATTCAAAATCAAGTTGCTGTTTCTTCTAAGCGTCGTGTACGTGATGAAGCAGTAGTTCTTGAAGATGTTGAAGTTCTCGTGGGTCATTCCGCCCATTCCGTCAACCACTTGGATAGGAAGCTTCATCAACGGTGGGAAAGGTTTGGGGTCTCTGCCGAGAATATAGCCAAAATCGGCGTGCCAAAACTTGCCGTTGGGTGAGAGTAGCAAATTATCCAAGTGTCGATCGCCCACACCGAGAAGATAGGTAATAACACAGTATCCAGCGCATGACTTCACGTAGTTATCCATGAGAGTGGGCGAAATGCCCAAATCACTGGAAACAGCATGTTCCTGATCTTGCAGAGGAATGCTGTTCTTCTTTTTGCCGAGAACACTCTGAGATTCCGGTTCTTCGTGGTGTAACATTCTGCTGTGAAGTTGAAGGTACCGAAGAATTCCATTTGCCGTAGTGGCACTTTGGCTAGGACCAACATTGTCATAAGTTGCTGATAATACGGCATCTAGCGTTTCATTGGGCACAAACTGGATAAGACCAGCGACCGGACTGGTTGCCAAAATCTTGTATGGAGTGAGCTTCAAGTCCAAGTTCTCATTCTTCAAAAGCTGGTCCATAAGGTTGATGATCTGGATGACCAATTGATCCTGACGCAAGTCGTCGCCAATCTTGAACATAAGCAGGTACTTTCCATACTTGTGTTTCTTGGTTCCTCCAAAGATTTGGGAGGAATGCGATGACGACAGGCGTTCCTTGAAGTTGGTGATGGTCTTGAAGGTGATTTTGAGTGGTGCCAAAGAAGATTTAAAAACGGAGGATTCTTCTGGATGGCATCCACAAATGATAACGGATGGATCGAGTGGAAGTGGGAAAGGATCAGGAAACAGAAGCATTTCATTCAGAGGGTCTGCAAGGTACTCTCTGAGGAACTGAACCTTTTTGGCTGTTGCCTCGTTCCTCTTGAAAGTTGTCCGAATCTTCTCCACCAAACTGGTGAGCTTCTTGATAAACGCAATCTGTCTCTTCAAATACTTATACTGTGGCAGCTTGGTTTTTTGACAGAAGGTTCTGAGCTTTTCAATATAAGTGTTGAGCACAACGCCGTAGATAGCACCGTTGACCGCTTTCGACTGGGGAACAACCTCTCCACCATTGAGCTGGTCCTCATTTTCAACCTTAACATACCAGTAGAAGAAGTTTCCGAGAATGCCGTTTTCCACTGACCGTTGGAGTAAGAACTTGGCTAGCGGGGCCTTGTCCAAATTGGGATTCTCCTCTATGACCTCGTACTTGAGTGCCTGGACGAGTTGAAGAAGGTACAATAGGAGCTCATCAGCTGAGGCCAATTTGAGTCTATCTACGGCAAACTCACGTAGTTTCATGGCCGACTTGAAAATTTTCTCGATTTTTTGCTCTTCTGCAGTGTTAATATCCCTGCTGGCTCCTGAAGTATCGACCAAACGACGTCTTAGAGCCGCTGTAAGGTTATGAGGGTTGAACTGGTTGCTGAGAAGTTCTAGCGCATCGCCCATATCGATCTTTTCAACGCTCCAGTAGGGCAAAATCTCCTTCATGGCATGGTCGAGCTCCTGCTCGTTTTCCCAGTTAAAGCACTTGAAGAATTTCGTCAAGAACTGGCGCTGGCTCTGCAGGGGTCCTGAGATTTGTGATTCGTCGCCCAGATTCTTTGAAAAATAGTACCTGTACTTCCAAAGCATGCGTTTCTCGTGATCGGCCAAAATGGCGCTCAGTGGTTTCCGCAAGATCTTGCCCAACTCGTCACGGTCCTGCGGTGACGGCTTGACCTCCTTATCTAGCAAGGAGTTGTTGTTGACGCTGGTGGAGAGAATGTTGAATTTTTTCTCGATCGGATCAAGTGGTGCTCTGCGGGTCAAGCTTCCTCCTGATTGTCCAGGAACCCCAGCACTTCCAGAAACTGAAGCCTCGCCGGTGGTGTTGAAATTGTGGAGAGTCAGAAAATCAAAGTCAGGATCGTACAATTTCCGTGGCGTCAAGTCCACGGACGTGAGCACCATGGCGCCTGCGTTTTCGGTACCCAATTGCGTCTTGTCAAAATCAGCCTGGGGTAGCATCTCCATGGTGGGAAGCTCGTAGGTGATATCCAGAAACACAATTGGGAGGGAGAAGTTCGGGAGCTCCACAAAAAGATGGTATGGTGCGTCGCCGGGACACGTTTCCTGGTGCTTGAGCTTTTCTGCAATCGGAAGCAGGAGGGAGTCTAGCCATGGTTCCTTCTTGAGAGCGCCGTTTTCGTAATTGATCATTCTGTCTTCGAGCGGCGTGGTGCAAAATTCCGTTTTGTAGTTAACAGCGGCAGAGTCCTGCGAAATCGGAACCTTGTAGGTGCCCTTCCTGAGGGACCCATTCTCATGGTTAAACAAGGAGAGTCTACCTTCCGCAAAATGGACCGGTTTCGTCTGCACAATCTCAAAAAGCTCAAATCGCAAGTATGCGCTGTAGTCGAGCTGGCTGTAGAGAATCGGGAGCTTCATCACGGCATCCCAGATCCGCTTATTACCCAGAAACTGCCTATACGGCGTCTGGACTGGAGGAATTATGCGATTGTTGTTTCCGTCAAGCACCTCCACCTTGACAAACAAGTCTGAGCTTGCCAGGATCTTGGAAAGCACCTGGAAGAGGTCCGGGTTTTTGTACTTGGCGGAGCTGGAGGCGGGTTTGAACTTGTGGGTTGTTTCTAGGGAGCGGATTTTCACGAAAAGCGGGATCAGGAGGTGCTTGGAAAGCCCGAAAGTGGCTGTGTTGGTCGACAGGAGCAGCAGGAGTCCTGCATCGGACGCCTCCACGGTCTGGGCGCCTCCCTGTGACATTGGGTTCAAGAAGTGGGTGTAGTTGAGATAGTGATAATACTGCAGGGTGATGCCAGTTGCAGCCATTCTGGGAATGGAAGAGGGTGTGGTTTTTGATTTATAGGGAGGGAAGCGATATGGTTGGAGGTTTTATAAAAATGTTTCTACAATGGCAGTTTGCATATTCGGGGAAAAGTGTTGAAGATGTTGAAGCACTATTACCAGAGAGCAGATACCTTTTGTGTAAGACATACTTACTACTAATTGTGAAGATATTTGGCTGAGGCTAAATTAAGACAAATTTTAGTTTACGAACAGCTTTGAAGTTTCTGGTATGGATGTGTTGTTTCAATTGACCGAAATGGTCAAATTCGAATGTGGGTTCATTAAGCTCGTGAATATGTCATAGATTCAACACCATTCAATTTCGAAACCTATTAGCAATTGATTTTTAGAACAATTCGATCAAATCAATATTTACCGCTTTCTTGATTATATGGCGAATTGACACTGACACTTACAGTTGTCAAAGTAAATACCAGCACCCACTGTGGAACTTTCCGTTACTCCGTGTATCAAAATTATACCTAAATCTTCGTCAAAACTACACCTTTGTCTTCATCAAAGCTTCCTACAGCCGCCACTACCATTCCTTATCCTTCCTTGTATATGCTTATTTACTTTTGTGCTTCACCGGCACCTCCCAAAATATGCTTATTTACGTTATGCCTCAGACGTAACCGCGGGCATTCTGGCCAAACCAAGTGTACTGGTTTTCCTTTGGCGGCAGAGCCAGGTCGTCGTCATCTTCTCCTTCTGATGAACCATCGGCCGAGTCCAGGTCCAAGTTGTAGAACATGGAGGGCGTCTTCTTGAGGCCAATGGGACGTTGAAGACCAGATGGTTTTGTGGGGTTGGTGTTTCCGTTACTGGTTGTTCTGGCCGTTCCGTTCAAACCCTTATGGGCTCTGATGCCCGAAATACTGCCATTGGCACTTCCGTTAGCGCTGCTGTTGATGCTGTTATCTGTGCTGTGTTCGCCGTTTTCACGCTCGAGCTTCTGGTTGAGCACGGACGGAATGAGCTTGACGGAGTTACCTCTGGCACGGTTGGGGACCACAGGGGAGCCCAGAGGAACCCGTTTTGGCGTGACGTCCCGTTTCTCCTGGTTGAACGAGAGCGAGAATTTGTTGACTTCCGAGTCAGACAGCTCGTCGGAGGAGTTTTCCTTGATCTTGCCGAAACTGGGCGTCTGGGCTCTCTTTCTCTGCAACGATCTGATCCGCAGAAGTCTGCTGATGACTTCGCCCATATTGCTGGAATGCTGGTTTCCATCACCATCGAGATCAGAATAATCTCTGGGTGACAAGGAGCCACCCGAAAGCACCAGCGGCCCCATTCCCTGCTCTGACAGCGAGTTGTTGTGTGAATATGCGTTGCGCTGCAACAGAGCAAGGTTGACGTGGGAGTTGACCTTGGAGTTCAAGAAATGCACAGGGATATCGGACGCCAGCGAGTACCGGAGCTTGAAAGGGCGCTGGATCTCGTCGTTGGAATTGAGCTTGACGAGGTCAATGACGGAGTTTGTACGTGTGGGCTCCGAGTTGGGCGAAACTTCGGGCGAAATGGGATGTGTGGGTGGGTTGGAGAGGTCGAATGCCTTCTTAAACGCCTCGTCGTTCATCACCTTGAGCTTGAACTCGGACTTGACCTGGAATTTGTTCGAATCCAGGGCGTTCCAGTTGCGTGCCGTGGGACACAAGAGGTTTTTGGCCAAGTTGGGTCTTTGCACGTTATTGGCGGATTTTTCGTACCTGAACGAGGGCCGAGGCGCCAGCAGGTCCTGGTTGGGCAATTTGAGGCCGCCAAAGCCGATGGCAGGGTACTGCTTGTTTTCGTCTAGCTCGTTCTTCTTGACGAAATTCAGCTTGTAGACGACGATGTCGTTTTCGAGGTTTAGCGTGGAGTCAATGTCCTCGTAATGCAAGAGCTGCAAGCAGTCACGCTTGAGGGTCCAAACGTCGTTTTCCCTCTTGGCGTAGTTGATTGTGGATTCGGGGATCTCCTCAAAGATCGGGTGGTTGATGAAGTACGACATGAAGTGGTTGATCAGGTAGCCGTGGCCCACGACTATGACCAAATCTTCGTTGTTCACATGCACGGGTTTGTCGTAGGTGGCCACGAGCTTCTTGAAGTACGTCTTGCAGCGGTCAGCGTAGTCCCTATAACTGAGACCAGGCTCGTTCCAAGGCCCTAGCGTCGTGGTGGGACGGAAGTTCAGCACACACCGCCTGTTCTCCAAGATCTTCACGTTGGGCGTGTACATGTCGTACGCTTCGCTCAGATCCGTGTAAGGAGGGATGTTCTTCATTCTGTCATGGAGCCACTCCAGTAGGGCAAAATCACAGAGCATGTTGAACTTGAGGCGTGTTTCAGGCACCTCTTTCTGAAGCGCCAGCACCACCAAATCCGCCGTCTGGCAGCACCGCAAGTAAGGCAGAAAATGCACATACACGTTGCGTTTTGGTTTCAGAAACTGACACACCTGTGCTATATCACGAGCCACCCTTGAGGCTTCACCCACAGCAGATACCGAAACCGAGGGATCGTAGGCTTTGTAGTCGTGGTAAAGGGGAGGATTGTTTAAGGAGGCATGGTCTGCCCGCGTTGCGTGGCGAAGGAAGACTAGCTCCATGGAAAAAGGGTGAGTTTATGGAGGAGTTGTAGTTTGAAGATGTGATGTAATGGAGCGGTCCGGGAGCAGACACTGCGCTGTGTGCAGGACAAAGTGTCCCTCCCCAAATGCTCTGTTTTTTTCTACGCTGGGGGGGCTTGCCGGGCTTCGGTGGGGTACGCGTGGTGGAGACGGGTCAGGGCTGTAGTGCTGATGTAGAGAGATGGAGCTGGGAGCTGCGGGGTTCTGGATTTGGTGAGATTTTGCAAAAACACGAAATTGTGGATTATCTCTGAATCGGGCCTGTCGATTGGGGAAAAAACTAAATGGCCGTGATTGCCAACTCCGAAACTACATTACCTGTCTTTTGTGAGCGGATCCGGGCCGGCTTTGGTGGGAATCAATGGGGCATTTCTGCTGACCAAGCCACGACATTTTTGAGAGATATAATGTCGCGTCTTGTTTGTGCTTATATCTTGGGCGCCAGAGGGGCTACAAAAAAACGAATTACACCGCTGAAATCAGGGACTTTTGCTCTACAAAGTGGTGTAGTCCATTTGTATGTAGCTTCGCTGGGTGCCGAAATTCCGGGTCCCACGAACGACATCGTCTTCTCACCGTTGTGGTTCCTTCACATTTGCCTCTTTCATGTGCAGCCGTTGCGCTACACGTCAAACATGCGCTTTCACGTTCTCGGAAATTCCGGCTTACCTTGATCGACCTGTGAAGCCAAATTTTAAAAAGAGCTATAAATTCAATTCCTCAAACTCCCACTCAATTAAAAAACAGCTTCTAGAAGGTTGCTGGTGGCTGAAGGAGAGAAAGGCTCCTCGGTTTCCGCCCCTCTCCTGCATATAAGCCGCCAAAAAGATGCTCACACAAAGCCCCATCAGTGCTTCACTGCAACAGGAACAGACCATATCACCTGATAATGTCTCCTGATACCGCGTCACCCGGGACCGTCCGGGTGAGAAAATCTGGTCTATTTTTAGAAATCCTTTTAAATACTAATACTTTTCATCCACCGATGAGCAAGAGCTGTCAATGACCATCCTGTATGCCTTGCCACGTCATTGTGGGCAGTGGGAGAATGTGAGAACAAGCGATCGCGGGGATTATGTGCAGGACGCACTATTTGTAGTTGCAAAACATTTAGTAATTTCCTTCACACACCGTCAGCAAGAAGTCAATTTTAGCCGACAGGGGACCCTAACACGTAGACCATTAGTAGACTTATGACGATTCCTGTACATAGGACGGGTTTCTTCCCCAGCAATCAGCCTCCTTGCGCTTGCTACTACTTTGTGGGGAAAAAAACACACCTCTACACAGTGCTTGATTTGATCGATCTGATGAAATTTCATCTTGCTGTGGGGTGCAGCAGGTTTAGGTTTGCTGAGGCTTCTCGGTGAGTGGATGTGATTTCTCAAAAAGGAAGGAGCTATGGTGATTGCGATGACGTCAGACTTTTTCACTGTGGAGAATTGCTGAAATTTAACACATCACTTTTCAGGCACCACGTCTTAAACGCATGTAAGTCTTATCGCCAAAAACTGGAGATACACGGGGGTGGCTTATATATTTGCTGTTGCTGGTCTGGGTCTGAATCAGGTCCGGTGGGAAACCTGTGCACCAGGTGGAAGCTAGCAGGAGACAATCTGATTGGCTCAATCAGAGAAAGTGTAGGTTAGGTCACGTTGCATTGGGGGCAGCCAATGCAAGTTTTTTTAAACCTTATTTCGACATGTCGATTTGGGTATGTCACGTGCGGTGTCACGTGACCGATCAACACTTTTGTGAGACCTCTTCCTCTTATCAATGCACAAGATGAACCACGATCTTTCTGCAGAACAGGTCCAGATCCTCAAAACCCAGTGTCTCCAAGGTATGCCCTATCCTTTTTCATCTCGTAATTCATTCTAACCGCAGCACGTGACTTCTCCTACTCGCCATACTCGAAGTTTCGGTATGTACCGCATCACACCACCCCAAAACACGTACTAACTCCAGCGTTGGATGTGCCATTCTCACGAAAAAAGGCTCCATAGTCACCGGTGCCAATGTTGAAAATGCCCTGTACGGCGCAGGCATCTGTGCTGAAAGAACAGCCATCACCAGATGCATAATGGAAGGTTCCAAGGAGCTTCAAGCTATTGCAATTCTGGGTGATTCCGCCGAGCCAATTAGTCCTTGTGGAATTTGCCGTCAATTCATCCGAGAGTTTGCTCCAAAGGTGCCTATTTTCATGTTTTCGGGGAAAAACGATGATATGGTGTGTAAGACCTTGGAGGAGCTTCTTCCCATGAGTTTTGGCCCTGAGCAGCTACAGTAGGCAGGGGAGGTTCGAGATTGCATGATGGTTGTAGGGACGAGAAATTGAGCGGAGTTGTTTGTATTCAAGAGGAGTAGGTGGGGTTCAATCGTCAGGTGGTATCCAAGGGATTGGGCATCGGGGACTAGGGTGCAATTGAAGACGTCGGAGGAATTTAGTTTTGAACTTCTAATGGCTAGTTTCTCGAGAAATTGCACACGTGGAGAAATCTGGTCTTTGTTGGTCAAGAAAGATAGCCCTTTAGTGCCTTTTGCAGTAATTGAAAAGGCTCGCGAGACACTGAGTCGTCAAGTCTATCCACGGCGTAATAGGCGAATCTGGCGGGCTACTAACCCTGATAGGAAAGAGAACTTTATTTGATTTGACAGTACCGTGTGTGAGTTACAAGAATGACTCTGGCGGCCGAATGTGATGTAATTGCCAGCTAGCAACGAATTTTCGAACCCATTTAGCTAATATTGCTTATACCAATTGCTGGAACCCTTTCTCCTGCTTCAATGTGTTGCTTTCATGGCAAACACGCCTCTGCATGGCGAGATCTGGTGGCTGCAAAAACATAAAGTCGCTCAAGTTCAAAAAAACACCGACATTCTGCAAATCGGAAGTTTTCCACTTCGAAAAAAAATAATCAAAAATACGTCATCCCCACAATCTTAATCAAATCAACGTCCTTCAAGAAACTCCGGATTCCTAGCTCCACACCCGTGCACCATCACCAACTTCCTCACGAGATGAGCTTTTCACCACCGAATTTCCCCAGAACTTCTAGAAACCACTCATAATGGCCGTTTGTGCAGCACCTACATGTGGTAACGAAACGGAGTCACAGCTCAAATGCCCTGTTTGTCTCAAGGGCCTGGTGGAGTCAGTTTTTTGCAACCAGACATGTTTCAGAGCCGGCTGGGCCGTTCACAAAGCCGTCCATCCAGCCGAGGACGGAAAGGAATTTGATCCTTTTCCAAACTTTACCTATTCTGGTCCCTTGAGACCAGCATACCCATTGCTGCCTCGGAGAACCGTGCTCAAGGATATCAAAAAGCCCGATTACGCTCAGCATGGAAAACCAATCAGCGAGATGAAAAACGACAGAACAGGCAAAATCACCATCTTGCAGGAGCACGAAATCAACAAAATGCGCAAGGTTGGCAAGATCTCGAGGGCTATTATCGACAAGGTTGCATCTCACATCAAGCCCGGTGTCACCACTGACGAGCTTGACGCCATTTTGCATAAGGAGTGTTTGGCCAGGGGAGCATACCCATCTCCTCTCAATTACTACAACTTCCCCAAGTCCATGTGCACTTCTGTGAACGAAGTCATTTGTCACGGTATTCCTGACCAGCGTAAACTCGAAGATGGAGACATTCTCAACTTGGACGTCACGATATACTTGTACGGCTACCACTCGGATCTTAATGAAACCTACTATGTGGGTGACAAAGCCAAGTGCGACCCAGACACTGTCAGATTGGTGGAAACTACAAGAGAAGCGTTGGACTTGGCAATTGCCAAGGTTAAGCCAGGTTTGATTTTCCGTGAGTTGGGTTCGGTGATTGAGGACCATGCTACCAAAAACGGCTGTTCTGTCGTCAGAACCTACTGTGGCCACGGTATCAACTCGTTGTTCCACTGCCAGCCCAACATCCCACATTACGCCAAAAACAAGGCTATCGGTATTGCCAAGCCAGGTATGGTTTTCACCATCGAGCCCATGCTTTGCCTTGGCACGCATAGAGACTTGACCTGGCCCGACGGATGGACGGCTGCTACCCAGGACGGTAAATACTCGGCTCAGTTTGAGCACATGTTGTTGGTTACAGAAGATGGATGCGAGGTTTTGACTGCCAGAAACGACGACTCGCCAGGTGGTGCGGTGAAGAGGATATAATGGGGTGTTTAGATATGCACGATGATAGACGAAACCGAGTAGTGTTTGAATCTGTAAAAAAATATGAATATGGGCACTTTCGGGTGCAAAAATGGACGAGTCCGGATTCGAACCGGAGACCTTTCGCATGCTAAGCGAACGCGCTACCAACTACGCCACACGCCCAGTGTACACAATGGGAACACACAGGTTGCTTGAGTTCGTTATTTAAAGAGGGTCATTTTTCGACTTTTCAAAGTGAAAATTTAGTCAATTTTTACATTTTTGGTTTAATATGTCAAATTCTAGCTTTCAGTATCTGGGGAAAATTTTCCAGGGAGCTAAAGCGTTTTTAAGATTGTACCACTCTATCTTCCTACAAGACACTTATATTAGCCTAAATCATCTCTGAGAGTCAAACTAAGTGTCCACAAAGCTACCGTCTAATCTTCGGCTTGTAAGAATATGCCTATTATAGAAAAGAAGCCCTTTGAACCGGCATCTACGGTGTGACTGACCATAGAACAAAGGCGACTATACTCTATATGCTGTTAGAGTACATTTCCTTCGCAAATTTCAAGAGAAAAAGGCCTCTTCAGCTTTGTAAATTTCAAATTGCTGGTTTGACACTGATACGAACCCCTAAACATGCATTTTCGCTCGCTATCCACCCCCTCTGACACGAACAAGGAGAGAAGCCATAGTCACTCCGTTATCGGGTCAATTGAGAGAAGGTTTTTGGTCTATAATCCCGGTTTATAGATTTCCAAGTTGAGGAGTAGGTTATTGAGACACCGATCCCGAGGCGACCTTGAATCAAAGTCTTCATCAAAAAAGAATTTCAAACGAGGGTTGATTATCGACTACAAACGACCACAAACGACCACAAACGAATGCACCCATTTTCGATCCCCATAACCCTTCCAGAGCTGTCTCCACTGAACACCTAAAACGTCCATATATCATGTGAATTCTACCATCAATACCTGTAACCCCCATAGGCTTCCACCCTCAAGGCTTCACAAGACTCTCTGAAAAATCCACCTCAAGGACCTCCTCACTGCCATCATGCACCACTGTCGTAAATTCACATCCCCAACTGAAGAAGAAAGTTTAGCCCGTGCACCTTTTTCGTACGTGACGCAAGGAAATAATATCAAAAATAATATTTCCATGTCGACGTCGATGCATGGAGAATGGTGTGGTGCAGGATTTTGCAGCCGTCAATATACCCCACAGACCTCACATGTCTTCGATTTGTGAGAGACTCTCATGTGTCATAAGAGCGTACCGTCTAGCGATAAACTAGGGGCAAAACGAGATATACAATTCCACTAATAAAACCAAAAAATGAAAACTTTCAATATTTTATGTAAATTTTTATAATATCTAATTATAACTTCCCTTCCTGGTCTGAGGCGTTCTGGGCACCCCTTGAAGTGACTTCTCCTCCTCGAGCCCTGACGAATCCGATAGTGCGGAGCGGGTGCTTATATGCAGTCCCCAAATATCTCGAAAGGTATAAATTCGCGCGTTTTCCCTGGTTTTGAAAAACTGGGGGGTTCTTTGTTGATTCCCCCCAGGCATCAGGTGACAAAATGCTAAGCAAGATCGCCGGTATGCTTATTAGCCGATTGGCCTAAAGTCGCCTACATTGGTAAAAGTCGCCCATAGTGGCATAAGTCGCCCATAGTGGCATCAGTCGCCCATAGTGGCATCAGTCGCCCGCAAGGGTAAAAGTCGCCCATCGTGGCAAAATCAAATCAAGTCTTCAGGGCTCATAACCTCCAAATAAAGTCCCAAGTGGCAAAACACAAGAATATTCTCAATTGAATAAGTAACACAAAAGTCCCGGCTAAGGGCATCAAAGAGCAACTCGTGTCCGATACACGACGCTTACAAGTCAAATACCTTGAGATAGACAATTGATCTAGTTCATCGATTCATCCTTGGTACAAATTTACAACAGAACAGAAGAGGAGTGGTTTACCTCTCTGATTTACTAACAAATAAGATAACATACTACAAAGAATCTCGAAAAGGGTCGCCGTGGGAGTGTCTAACCAACAGCTTTTTGAAAGGTCGGTTTCTACATATAGTTTTTTTTCCTTTCAATATAGTGTAACTTCCAAAAATATGTTGTAGACTACTGTAGTCCTCGTGATTTAGCTGAGAGAGCGCGTGTTAGTTCAGTTGATTTCTCTTTTGACTGAGTTTCTGGTTGATTTCGTTTAGTCAATTTCGACAAGACGTTTCAATATCTAATTGAGAGAGTATCGAGAATCACTACTGAAATTGTTCAAGTTGCAATTGAAGAAGTTGCAATTCAACGATTTTCAAAAATATGTTGAGAAACTCAGTAGACATTCGTGGTTTTACATTTGAGGAGCGGTATCGTTCAATTTTAGCGAAAACCACAAAGACATTAAAAAAACCACGGAAGGTGAAAATTGACGATTTGACCATCTCAGTGCCTCAAATAACAGCTATTTAAATCAGTCTTCGATTTTGAGAAAAAATTTCTTGCTTATTCCATCAATCTACAGCACAGTCTTCTGGTTGCAAATTGTATGGGTGCGAATATCAATAGGTTGAAGGTCTGGGACCAATTTCCACCAAATGCCATTCAAGTCTTTTCTCCCATTCCATATGAATATCTTCAAACTCTGACCTCAATCAATTTTTACCACCATCTTAATCGAAAAAAATGCTCCAATTAATATGTGTTAGGAACTTGTGAACATTCATCTCGCCAGCTCCAGTGCATCCCAGAAAACCTCGTAGAAAGCATTGCAGATCGAGGCAATTGCTACCAAGTTCAACAATTTCATGATCATTAAAGACATATGTTCTTTATATGGTATCATCCTCGCTTCTCTGCCCACATCCATAATTCACCCATCCTTCCACATTGACCCACAATGCTCCACAAGCCTTCTCGACCAAAAAACCACCCCAAATCTTCACCCCAACTGTCCCATAAAAGACACAATCCTCCCCTACCTCCCCATCCAACACCTCTCCAATGTTGCAATTCCAATTCCTTCCATGGACCCTGGAACACGTCCTGCACACACCACACATCATCACCTCCAACAACCCCTTCACCAACGCCGTTAATTCCCCTAAAAACCCTAATAAATCAAATTAATACATCCTGACAACGCCCAATCCACCTCCTAAATCACCCCCTTGGCCCGGGTTCATCCCCAAACCCGAGACCCACCTCGGTCACGTGCGCACCATAAGAAAAAAAATCACCACCGAACAGAAACCACCACCATGTCTTCGTCGATCCAGCTCCTCAACCCGAAGGCCGAGTCCTTGAGACGCCTGCAGGCGCTCCAGGTGAACATCGCCGCCGCCCAGGGCCTCCAGCAGGTTTTGGCGTCCAACTTGGGCCCCAAAGGCACCCTAAAGTTGCTTGTGGATGGATCAGGTAACCTCAAGTTGACCAAAGACGGAAAGGTTTTGCTTACGGAAATGCAGATCCAGCACCCCACGGCGGTCATGATTGCACGTGCCGCCACCGCCCAGGACGAGATTACTGGAGATGGAACGTCCACTGTGGTATTGTTGGTGGGTGAATTGTTGAAACAGGCTGAGAGGTTTATCTCTGAAGGAGTGCACCCTCGTGTGCTTGTGGACGGGTTTGAAATCGCCAGAGAGGCTTCTTTGAAGTACTTGGACAGCTTCAAGACCACGCCCGAGCTGTTTGACCGGGAGTTTTTGTTGCAGGTTGCCAAATCGCTGGTGGCTACCAAAGTGACTTCTGACATTACCGATGTGTTGGCGCCAATCGTGACGGACTCGGTTTTGGCCGTTTCCGGCGACGACGTGGCCAGAAACAACTTGGACCTCCACATGGTCGAGATCATGACGATGCAGCACGGACACGCCAGAGACACCTCGTTCATCAAGGGTCTTGTTTTGGACCACGGCGCCCGCCACCCAGACATGCCCCGTGTGGTGAACAACGCGTACGTGTTGATTTTGAACGTGTCGTTGGAGTACGAGAAGACGGAGGTTAACTCTGGCTTTTTCTACTCGTCGGCTGAACAGAGAGAGAAGTTGGTGGCTTCCGAGCGTCAGTTCGTGGACGCCAAGCTCAAGAAGATCGTGGACTTGAAAAACGAGGTCTGTGGCTTGAACGGCGACGCCGGTTTTGTCATCATCAACCAGAAGGGTATCGACCCCATGTCGTTGGACGTTTTGGCTAAGAACAACATTCTTGCCTTGCGTCGTGCCAAGAGAAGAAACATGGAGCGTTTGCAGTTGATTGTGGGCGGAGAGGCCCAGAACTCCGTGGACGACTTGACGCCAGAAATCTTGGGCCGTGCCGGTAAGGTCTACGAGGAGAGTATTGGAGAGGACAAATTCACCCACATCACCGAGTGCCCTGAATCCAGATCCGCCACGATTCTCATCAAGGGCTCTGCTGCCCACGAGTTGCAGCAGACCAAGGACGCTGTTCGTGACGGCTTGAGGGCTGTTGCCAATGTGATCAAGGACGAGTCCATTGTGCCCGGTGGAGGAGCCTACTTCATGAGCTGCAACCAGCACCTTCTTGCCAGCGAGACGGGTATTCTTAGAGGCCGCAACAAGCCAGGTATCCAGGCGTTTGCCGAGGCGCTTTTGGTTGTGCCCAAGACGTTGAGCTCCAACGCCGGTTTGGACTCGTTGGAGACCATTTCCTCTTGTCAGGATGAAATCGCCGAAGGCCACCAGGTCGGTATTGACCTCACGTCGGGCGAGCCCATGGACCCAGCGCTTGAAGGCGTGTGGGATTCGTTCAGAGTGTTGAGAAACGCCATTTCGTCCGCTACAGGCATCGCGTCCAATCTTTTGTTGTGTGACGAGCTTTTGAAGGCGGGTAAGTCGTCGTTGAAGGGCCAAGGCGGTGGAGGTATGCCCCAGGGAATGCCGCAAGGAATGCCTCAAGGAATGCCCCAGGGGATGCCCCAAGGGATGCCTATGATGTAGTGACGAATATGGGAATGTATATATAGAGCCGATTAATACCACTGGCACGAAGGCTTTTGTAGAGATACGGGACGGAGAATCGACCCAATCGGGAAGCAGCATGGTTGTAGTTTCGTTCAGGCATGCTCTAGACCGTTACCTCTTGCAACTGTGCCTTTGGAAAGCAGGGAAAACGCAATTTTTGCAGAGAACGACAAAGGTGGAACAGGCTTGGCCTACATTGACAGGAAAAGCTTCTCAAAAGGTTCTCCGTTGCATGTGGCTAGTGCAGCTTCACGGTAATCTGATGTGGAACAGAAAGGGCCTTTGTCGATCGGCGGCTAAAGTTGCAGGGATTTTTGTGCCGCTTAGACGTTGAAATACGGTGTGGGATTGGCGGTGTTTCAGAGCAAATTTTGTCTTGTTTGGTGGAATTTCATGGAACTTGTGGAGAATCCAAATGCCTTGGAGAGGATCTTGGCAAACGGCGACCAGAAAGGCCGCTAGCAAAAAAAAAAAAAAAAAAAAACAACAACAATGCCCCAGCATTCATGTAAGCCACCTTGGAGGATCTGAAATATGTAGGGAGTATCGTATGATCTTGATGCTCGGGCATGTTGAGAAATAAAACAAAAGAGCCACTACGCCCGCTACAAAGCAAAAACACCAAAAGTGGACCAAACGTAATTCGGTGATTAGCCCAGCAATTTCATAAACAATTTCCTGTGCTTGGCCACAGCAGGAGGAGTGCCCGAAAGCCCCGAAAACGTCAAAGCAGCGAACATGCACGGAGGGCTAAACGGGCCCAACGAAAAACCACCTTTTTTTCCCCAAGTCCAAATAGTGTTTCTGCACCCGCCGCCCCACGTCACCACAAACCGTGAATTTCATCCCCAGCGTTCCGGCACTGGGTCTGTATAGCCAATGACATCAAGACGGCTTAACTGTGGATGATGACGACGGATGCATTGCAGCCGTACGGTCCGAGAGCGTTTCGAGGCGAAGCGGGTGTCATTTACGAAGATGGGCCTGTGCCGGGACAAATGTCGTCCTTGTAGCGGGATTGTGGGAGTGGAAAGGTGACCATGTAGAGGTGGTGATGATGGTTTCGGCTTTTTGCACCTACACCCCCAGCGCCGAACCACGGATCACGAAAGCCAATTTCACTTGGGAACGTGCCTCGAAAGCGCCGTGTTTGCGAAAAATTGGCCGTGGTTTTGGCAGGACCAACAGCCCCAGAAAAGGCTGCAAATGCAATCTTGGCCCGAGGCGCCAGAAAACAAAAACTTGCGTTTTAGTCCCCCGACATAACACGACCAACGCCAGGGTCTGACGAGTTTCAGGGTCCTCCAGGCGGCCAGGAGGGTGGAGAAGAGGAGGAGGCTGTAGAGAGAGAATTTGAGAGAGTTGGTGGGGCTTTTAAAGAGACTTTTGAGAGATCTCAAGCATGGCAAAGAGATCTTCCACAGGAAAAGATTTGCGACGGCAAAAACACGGGAAGCTGGAGGCAGCTGGAGGCTGGGGACAATTTAGGGCAGACTTTATCGTAGTGGGCCACCGGCCAATGACTAAAAGACGGTCAAATGCCAACGGGCAAGGCACCGGGTAAGTTTAAGCGTAGCCGTTTCCCGAGGATTTTTCACGATTTGGGGCAGGGCATCGAGGGGAGAAGGATTCGAAGAGAGATTTTCAAAACAGCGGAAAAACAAGACCTCGGCACATGTCTTTGGTAGCTTTGGCCTCTGATAATAAACGCTGACAATTTACCCAAAATAACAGCGTTCCGAGCTGAGCCACATGCAAAGAAGAAAAAATCACAGTCGGAGACCCTTGTATGACGCAAATTTGCCCCAACGATCTAAAAAATAATTTGCACAACGAGCCCCAGTGTGGCTAAAACATGCCAGAGAAGAAAAATATAGCATTCCATTGCATGCGAGATTACCACTGCCCGGTTTCCATTGTTCTATTGTTCCAGCGTAGCTCTGCCGGTGCCTGCGTCACCTAAAATGTGCTAAGTCAGCTTTTCTGCTTCTCGTCAATCTGCGCCTCCTACAATAGACGGAAAAACTCTCCGTTGGAGGGGAAAATTAGCCACGCCGATACCAGGTGGAGAAGGCGGGCTAAAAACAATGGGGAGTATTATTAAGAAGAACAATGCCGTAGATCCCATTATTCGCTAAGTTTTACGTAAATCTGACATTAAAAAAGAGGCCGCCCAAATGGACGCCTTGCTCTCTGGGGATGACCTCATCGAGGGAAAAACACCCAATCCCACGCTTGCGACTTTCCCACATGCTAGTAGTGAAGGCGTGACGCTCGGTTTTCAATTCTAAAATTACTAAACCTTATTCGCTTAGATCTGCGTGGAAGCTTCCCGACAGTCATTGTTCTGCTACTATGACGCCCGACAGAGGCAGACGGGTTCGCTCTACCGCTGCGGAGGATGACCCGGTGGGGCACTGTGGCTGGGTACTGCAAGCGCATAGAATTTTTCCGGGCGGTCCGCTGAAAAAAAAAAAAAGAGAAGCTTCTTTGCTACCCTCCATGGCTGCAAAAAAAAAAAAAAGGAAAACGAAAAAAAGGCCGCCCTGGTCTGCGGGGGCCCTGGGAAGGCGGGCGCTATTTTCCAAATCCTATTTTGCCGGTGCCTTGCGGCTTAATAGCCGATATAACCCATTTTACGTCAGTGAGGTTGGACGCAAGGCCCTCTTGGTGTTTTTTTTTTTCTCCTCCACGGGTTGGCGGGTTTCGGAGAGATATTCGGGAAAACTTCAGCCGGAGCGGCGTCATCTTGCTTCGTATGTGAGGTCATTTTCGACGTCGCCTGCCCTGCGGCGCCGGAGCTAAGGTCTGGCGAACCCACTAGCGCATAATTGGGGGTTCCCTCTGAGAGGCTCACCTCAGGTTTATCCGCGCACTACGGTCCAGTTTATCCGCCAGTGCCGCGGCTCCTCGCTTTGAGGGGCATTGGTGCATGGTACATGGCATGGCGCACGACATACATTGTTTGCCACTTGCCATGTACTCCCAGCCACACAAAACCTCGCGTTGTGTGCTATCTTGAATGGGAACACTGGGTGGGTAAACTCAATTAAACCTCCGGGCAGACCCGTGCACCTCGTCGGGGTTCCTTCTCCCCACACAATCCCACGTCTCTCATGAATTTTTTTTTTAGCGTAATTGAATACCCACGGCCCGATGGCTATTGTTATCTGGGGCTTAGAGGCCCTGATTTTTCGTTGCATTTATTTTTTGGAATCCCTCGTCAATAGAACTGTCGTGCGGCCAGCATTGCGTCCGTAGGGTGCATGGAAAGAGTGACCCATCTCACGTGACCAGGCACAAGGCAGACTCCAAAAAAAAAAAAGAGGCTTACGAACCCCGGTGGTTTTTGCCCTAAAAATCTCGCATATCTCACCCAAAATCCCGAAAGGCCGCCTTTCAACCACACGGTTTTTGGCCCCGTACCCGAGGTACGGGTTTCGCTTTAAAGCCTTTCAAATGCTCAGGTTAGAGTCCCCCAACCCTGATTGACTCACGACACGCATGGTGCATTTCGGGTTCTGCAGGATACCCACTGCAGGAAGCCCGTGCAGCTGCACCATGCAAATGCACTGTTAAGGCCCACTACAGGAAGCCCTCAATCCCTCCATGCCAGGCGAAAACCGCGTGTGCAGCATGCAGCGTGCAGCTTCTTCTGCGCCGCCCAGGTCTCTCAAACCTCTCTTTACTAATTTCCATCTACAAAAAAAAAAAAAACCCGCCTCCTCGAATGTCAGTATATCTATAGCGAAGTCCGCCAGGGGTCCCGCCGCATTTTTAGCATTTTTTAGGAACAAAACAAACCATAACTTTTTGAACCCTTTCCCCGACGTTCCAAGCCATAGTTCGTCCAAACACAACCAACAATTATCCTTCTTCCCTCAATCAGCCTTAATTGACATAAGAGGCTCCCTCCGTTTGATGCTACCGGCCTTCGTCCAACATTAAAAGTATGTATAACCGTTGAAAATTTTAGAGTTTTTGCCGAAGACGTGGTTTGAAGATCATGAAGATCACGTCTATCCCACACCGATAAGAACCCGCTGGAGCACCGCCAGATCACGATTTAGCGAAGATCTGGAGCCTACTTGGCGATCTGCCAAACCGGATTTCAAATAATCTTGACGCTGGTGCTCCGGCAAGCGGGAACATCCGTGCCCGAGTTTTCATTCAATCCGTATCCATCCAGATCAGCACCGGTTGACGTGGAAATTTCACCAAATGATCCCCGACCGTCTCTCCACCGAACCCTAGCCACCTAGTCCGCCGTTGTTGCCCGTTGCACGACTTATCCACGCTTTCCCACCCCCGAAATCCCCAAAAACCGCCTGCTCCAACACATCTCCATTGCACCACCGCCAAACGAAATTCAGCCACACCCAACGGCCCATTGACGTCTCCCCAGTAAACCCAAGCCCCCGCTTTGACTTTAAACACAAAAACAGCGTCCCCGGGCCCGGCCGTGATTGGCTGCAAGGCGTGGTTCACAACCGAACGGCGTTTCGCAGTCGCTGGCTACTGACCCAGGCGGGCTGGGCTGCCGTGAGGGAGGATTGGGGAAAAAAAGGACTTGATACTTTTCGTTCTTTCTTGATTTTCACTCCGGCGGCTGGATCGGTGGAGGTTTTGAAATCGAACACAAGCGGGCACAGTGGAGCAGTATCAGACCACTGGAGGAGTCAGAAAGTCAGAGGGAGATTTGGGCCAAGCAGCTTCAATTGAATCGAGGAGGCAGCGTATTATAGAGTATTCTTTTCCTTCCAAGATCCCCAAAACCATCCAAACTCCATCTGAATCACCACCTCCCAGATCAGGCCTGGATCTTCGGCAATCTCAATTTCCAGCAAAAACTAACCCCCAGTGAGCCAGTGGCAACCGTCGTGGTCGTCGTCCTATCCAAAAAATAACCTGTCCCAGGACCCCCTCTACACCTATGGCATGCCTGGGAAACTCTCCAGGCCGTCCTTCTCCAACGAGGAGAACCCTACGCCCAACCGCCAGCCCCTCTACCTGCCAAACCCGCTTTCCCAGCCCAATTCGGCCCAGCCTTTGGAAAACCAGCAGGAGGGCCTTTCGTCTTCTCCATACCAGTACATGCAATATCCATTGCAGCAGCCTCCCGTGATGGGCCCTGCTTTCCAGAATAACCTGAACCCCAACTTCAACAATAACCAGGAGTTCCACGGCGAGTGGGACCCCTCCATCAGCAGCGCTGACAGAAACGGCCTGGTTGCTTCGAGAGATTCCAAGGAATCCACCAACTCCCGCTCCTCTGTAGACCAGAGCAGCTCAGAAACGTCCCGTTCGCTGAGCGATCAGGCCAAACCCCGTTCTGCCTCTGGCGGTGTCACGAAAAGATCCCGGATGGGCTGCCTTACGTGCCGTCAAAGGAAGAAGCGTTGCTGTGAAACGAGGCCCAAGTGTTCCGAGTGCCTGAGGCTTCGATTGAACTGCGTTTGGCCCAAGCCTGGAACGGAGCACAAGAACAAGAGCAAGGAGGTGAAGAGCCAGGAGAACACCATTGACCATGATGTGTATGGCAAGATCAAGGTGTTGCGGGGCATTGTGGAGTACCGTTCTTCCTAGGATGATGTTGAAGAAGCCAATTGAGCTAGGCCCTAATGGTCAGTCGTTTTGATTGTCAATCGACTGCCCTGGCCTTGATCCTGGTACCCAGTCGTCTGGAACCTCCCTCACTTAATCCAGATAGCGGGCGAAACAAGGCAGCGTTTCACAGTTGGTGAAGGCTGTTTCAAGTGCCCCACTGGTGTTTCAGGAATTCTCATGCTGACAACGTGTTTCGACAGTTTCTACAGTGTCGATTCACATCGCTGTAGGCTGCTTCCCCAGCCTAATAGCCTTTCTGGTCCGCCAGACGCCCTAGGGCATTTTTAGATGACAATACACATGCACTGGATGTGCAAAGATAGATTTCAAAACTCGGCTGTAGGCACAAAACGAAATTTTGACGTCAAAAAAACCGATCTACCGACCTGTCACTTTGACAAACTGTCACTTAATCTTCCATCGACACTCAAAACCCGTTCCTGACGGCTGCCCGGCTATCTCTACAAACCCAAACAGCCGCCTGAGCAAAGGAAGATCTTCGCCAACAAACAGAAAGTTTAGACGGCGACAGAGCACCCACAAAAATTACAATCATGCCCGAGCTTATTGGACTGGGGCAGATTTGCGTTCCCCAGAGAAGCCACATTGGCAGAATTGGCCATGCTACGTCTGACTTGACTAGCGGGTCGTTTCCATTCCTGGGCAGCTCGAGACGATGCACAGAAATGCCCGTACAATGAGGAGAATTCCAGCGTGACGCAGAGAACTGACGAGACGGACGAATGGCGTTTCCAGAACCGTCACAACCGTGGTTCCAGAAGAAACGCTGGAACGACGGCTCTAAATCAGACTCTCGTTTAGCAACCCTGCTTTGTGGAGAAGGCCTAAAGTTAGTTTCACAAAGGTCTCGTCCAAAAAGCAAAATCTCAGCCAAACCTCCCCACGCAACCTCCCACCACCCAAACAGAACCACAAAAACAACACCGCAAGCCAGCCCGCTGTCGACAGAAGCCTCAGTAGCAAAAACAAGGCGGAAGCGCCCCGCCCGTTCCGTGCCTAGAGCTCCAGAAACACCTTATCATGGACTTATCACTGTAGAATGGGTTAATCCAAAGGCGCCAGGTAGGCAAGCGCCCGGCTGTAGACGCCATGCTGGCTTCCGGAAGCCCTGAAAAACCACCCTAAAAACCCTCATGCCGACGCCGAAGGCCGCCAGGATCGGCTTCAGGGTCGGTACTCCGATGCAAGTAAGGGTTTTGGCGAGCTAAGAATAAGCGGCATACAGCCCTTTTTACAGAAAGCCGGGGGTAAGCAAACTGTACGGCTGGTAAAAATGTCTCAAGTTTTCTTGTTTGCTGGGCCCCTCCACCCCTGGGAGCAATGTGCTGGTGATTGGATGGATAAGAATGGCAATTTGGTACTGTCCAGTCAATTCCCTCCATTTTCTTCTCCCTCCCCAATTTGCCCAGAAACCAGACCACCCACGCCGTTGAAGGCGGCTATCGTGCTGAACAATAGCTCCGTTTGTCGACCCTAGTACCCTGGAAAACCGAAAATTAGCCGACACGCCTCGCTTCTATCCAGAGGGTGCAGCAAACAAGGCCATGCTGGAGGGGCTAAATTAGGAGGAGCCGCCTGGACCCAAGGGATTCTCGAAAAGGGAAATCACGATGCCTGGGGCGCCACGCTGCCAGGTGGGAGACATTTTCTGGGTGTGTTTTTGTTTTTTGGTTAAGGGTTCAGGCATGGCGTTAATCAGCAAACTAGCCGAGGAGGACCTGTTTTGTTATGCTGGGCGGTGTGTGCCGGAGCAGCGGGTGGGCTGGCGGCCGGCCGCTCGGGGCCGTCTACGAGGTTTTACGAACCATTGTGTTTTTTAGAAAGAAAAGTGGTGTGTTTTGGTGGAGTTGTAGGTTTTTGGAATCTAGCGTGGATAGGCCCGCTAAAACACCCGTACATCCCGTGGTGCACGGATCTTTACTCACTCTCACCTCACACAATATTTCTCTCTAGAGAGAGTGCACACCCGTGCACCATCAACACTCTGTTCCTACCGCACCAACCTCAACACCACCTGAACCCCAAAAACTCCACTTTGCCTGCACAGCACCCCCAATGTCCGCCGAACAACACACCTTGCGGGAAAGGCAAATATGTATGTTTCTATTAGGCCTCGGCCACGTGACTCAATTCCCCTCACCCCGCTAACAAAACCAGCCGCCCTAGAGCGAATGCTCCACCTCAACAAAGACGGCACTGCCGATCTCACGTTGGCCTCCAAATCGGAGGAAATCGTGTGGAAGGTGCTTGTGATGGATAAGAAGTCGCAGGCGGTGATTTCGTCTGTTTTGCGTGTCAACGATCTATTACGTTGTGGAATCACCGTCCATGCTTTGCTTTCAGGCTCTAGATCGCCATTGCCTGACGTGCCTGCTATTTACTTTGTGGAGCCTTCCGTGGAGAACGTGACCCAGATTATCCACGATTTGCAGAATGACACGTACGAGTCGTTTTACGTGAATTTCACCCTGACCATCAACAGAGAGCTTTTGGAGGAGTTTGCCAAGAAGGTCTCGCTCTGTGGCAAGGGCAACAAGATCAAGCAGGTCTACGACCAGTACCTCGACTTTATTGTGACGGAGCCCAACTTGTTTTCGCTCGATACGGCCAAAACGTTCACAAAATTCAATTCTCCTTCGACTTCAGAGGACAACATCCACAGACTCGCCAACACCATCGCCGACGGCCTTCTCGCCACGTTGGTGACCATGAACTGCGTGCCGATCATCAGGTGTCCGAAAAACGGACCAGCGGAGCTTGTGGCTACCCAGTTGGACATGAAGTTGCGTGACTACAACTCCAATTCTCGTGGAAGCGGCTCCCAGCTGCTCCAGCAGCGTCCTGTGTTGATTATCTTAGACAGAAACGTCGATTTGGCGTCGATGTTCTCCCACTCGTGGATCTACCAGTGCATGGTGAGCGACGTTTTCGAATTGCGCAGAAACACCATCAAGGTGGTCAAGTACGACGATAAGGACAACTCGCACGTGAAGAGCTATGATGTGGACCCCAAAGACTTCTTCTGGAACAAAAACTCGCAATTGCCTTTCCCCGACGTCGTTGAAAACGCAGACGTCGAGTTGAACTTGTACAAGAAAGACGCCCAGGAATTGACGAATAGAACCGGCATTTCTAGCATTAACGACATCAACCCAGACGCCAATGCCGACACTTCGCTCATCCAGCAAGCCGTCGAGGCCTTGCCTGAGCTCACCGCTAGAAAAACCACATTGGACATGCACATGGACGTCTTGGGCTCGCTTTTGAAGGAATTGGAGGCCCGTACGTTGGACAAGTTCTTTGAGATTGAGCAAGGTTTCCTGGACCCCAAGGTGCAGAGCGAGTTCCTCGAGCTTTTGAAGTCCGACTCCAAGAGAGACAACTCTCTCGATAAGTTGAGAACGTTCATTATCTTGAGTCTCTTGGCAGACTTGCCAGAGTCTTACTCCAAGCAGTGTGAGCAGACCTTGGCACAAAAGTATCCTCAGCTCGACATGAGCGCCGTCAAGTACGTCCGCAAGTTCAAGCAGATGACCAAGATGTCGCAGAATGTATCCTTGAACGAGCAGCTGAGTTTGAAACACAGCGTTGGTGACACCAACAACTCAGCTTTGTTCAACGGTCTTTCTTCCAAATTGTACGGCTTCACGGAAGGCAAGCTTTCCGGCGGTATTTCGTCGTTGGCCAGCGGTTTGAAGAAGCTCTTGCCAGAAAAGAAGAACTTGCCCATCACCAACATCGCAGAGGCCATCATGGATCCAGCCAACGCCTCAAACAACTCCATGCATATCACAGACGAATACTTGTACCTCGATCCCAAGTCACGAGGCGGCCATCTGAAGCCACCCAAGAGGCAGCTGTACGAAGAGGGCATTGTTTTTGTTGTTGGCGGTGGAAACTACTTGGAGTACCAGAACTTGTCTGAGTGGGCCAACGTGCCCGGCAGACCACACAAGGGCGTTGTCTACGGCAGCACGGATATTGTCACAGCCAAGGACTTTGTACAAGAGATACTGGAGCTTGGGAAATTGGATTAAGTCAGGGGAAAAACGGGAGTTGCAAGAACTACCTGAGCATATATTAGGCGCTCTAATATAACGAAGTGCACGTAAGCCTACACTGGCGTAGTAACGGTGTGTATTGTATCTGTCTTCGAAGGCACTGGGCCGACTCATATCTGCGTATATTACATTTTTTAGAGGTAGCCCTTGGTGGAGCCCAACACTTGCATGGAGCGGCGGGAGTCCAAGAACAAAAGCTCACACTCCTCGACGTCGGCGGCGATGATTTCGGACCGGTTCGCCGTTTTCGCCAAAATACCAGCAGGAGCCAACAATTGCAAAGCGTATCTCAAGGAACTGGCAGCGCCGTGCTCGGCCAACTTGGTCAAGGCGTCCGGAGCAAGCACGAGGTTTTCAAGCTGGGCACGTTTCGAAACAATGGTCTTGATTTCCTCCTGGTTGTAAGGAAGCGTCTTGACGATCAAAAGACGGTCGATCAAGTCCGGAGGACAGCCGTGCGGGTACTTGACGTCGTCGTCGGTGCCTCTGATGGTGGTCATGCCTCTGTTGGAGGCCAAAATCACCACTGGCGCAATCGAGCTCTCGAGCGCTCTGTTCAAGTATGTGAAGATCTCAATGTCCAACATGTTCACCTCGTCAATGAACAACACACCGGGGATGAGCTCGGCCACGCCCTGGTCAATGTACTTCAGCACGACCTTGTTGACCTCGGCACGCAACTTGTCGGTGATTTCCGTCTTCTTGGGCTTCAACAACTGGCCCATCATGGAGAGCACATCCTGACCGCCCTGCGGACGGGCGTTGGCCACGTCCAAATCGTGGAGCGTCACGTCCTGGACGATTTCTTTCTTTTTGTGCACCTCCCCCTTGGGCAAAGGCACGTACTCCTCGGCTTCAAGGTCGAATTCGGTGGCGTAGGCGTCAGAACGACCCACA